CCCCAAAGCCAGCTGGTGAATTGAGGGAGCCTGGACAAATCAGTCCTGTCTGAAAGCAGGGCTGAGGGTGTCCATGGTAACTCCCCCAGCCTGATCCAACCTACACTATTAACTCACCTCAACCAAGTGACATAGAAGAAGAGAAAAATACTCTACAGTCTTCCTTCCACTATTCATTTTAAAATGTGAGGACCGTGGAAGGGACAGAAACTCTGAAATATGTGGTTCTGTGCCACCCCTGAAAAGAAAACAGGTTGATGACTGATCTGAAGCATCATGGCAATATCTTAGGACTACTGTAATTTCTTCCTTATGGGATGCTGGGAAGTGCTTGGTTTCTCTGAGGTAGACCCCAATATGCAGTCATGATAATTCTCCCTCCTGGGCTGTGAGTCAGACCAAGGCCTCTGTTGGTCAGCTCTAGCTACTCACCAAACTGCTGTCCCTGAAAGATGAAGGTGAGTTGTATGGGAAGGGAGCCGCCTTGAGGAGGATAAGGCTGAGATGGGGACTGCAGAGACGAGCAGTCTTTTGCAGCCATATTGTTGTTGGTGCTCTGGTGAAGCACCAGGCTCTTGAGGCTTTCCTCCAGCTCCATGATCTCCTCATCTGGCAGGCGGTCAGGCTGTAACACAAACAGCATCAGTGACTCTGCAGGGACACCAGCCTGCAAAGCTGTGCTTGCTGATGCCTAATATTCCTATTGATAGTGAATGCCTGTTTCTCAGGACCATTTAGAGGAACCAGAGCTAAAGTTCCAGATGGAAAAAAAAAGAGGAGGGGAACAAGTCAGTGAGTTTAATCATATCAAGTGCCTTGTCGTGAGATGACAAGATCTCACTGTTCTTGCAAGCAGGATTAGAGTGCCAGTACCAAAGTGTACAATGAACCAGAAGTCAGATGAGAGAGACTTTGCCTTCAGAAGGGCAGCCTACTCTTGCTGCCAGTAGATGCTGTGTGTCCTCTGACACAAGTTTTTGTGATGTGCAGTGTTTGCACTCACTTCCACTGCTCATTTCCAGGTGCAGTTACCTTTGCCACTCTGGGAGGAGGTGGTGTGTGAGGCAGGGGAGGGAGGTGCAGAGCAGTGATGGTTCCAGCCAGGGCTGCTCCTCTCTGCCTGCCTCACAGCTGTACTGAGGACACTTGTGTGTAAGCTGCACTGTCTAGAACTCCTTGTCTTAGTGGGGATAACAACCACGCTAGCTGTTATACACAGAAGGCACAGAGAGTTAGCAGGCTCTTTGCAGGCTGCTTTAGGTAACTCTATTGCCCTTTTTTCTGAGGAAGGGCAGAGCTATTTCTCCACATTAGAGTTAAGATCTAAAGGACTGAATGCTCCATCAGAACAAGACTTGCACCCACCTCTGCAAGCCCAGTGCCACCCCTCCTCATTGTTGTCCAGCCTCTCTCCCTCTCTCACTCACCTTTTCTCTGTAGATGCACTCCAGGCAACGATCCTCATCCTTCAGCATCTTGTCAAGGTGCTCACTGCCAGCCTTCAGCTCCACTTCCAGAGGCACCATGGTTGTGGCCAAGCAGAGCTGGAGGTGACTCTGGAGGGACTTCTGGAGTGCTCCTTCGCGGTAGCTCTGCAGGAAGCGGCGGCAGTTCTCCTCCTTGCAGAACCTGAGCTGGACTATCAGGTGTGGGTGGCTGCAGTGCACCTTGAGCATGTCCACACCATTCACGCTGCCAGTGGAGTCTGGCAGGGAGAAGGGAGCACAGTCACAATCCAGGCATGAGCCAGCCCACACAGACCCCACCCATCCACAGCAAGCCTGCAATAGAGGAGCTTTTGCAATCTCTTTGTGATAAAGTCCTCTGGGATGGAAAAATGTGTTAAACCAAGAGGGAAAGATTAAGTTCATGCTGCCCTGCCTCCACTGATCTCCATGAGTATGGTGTCCAACATAAGATGTATGGAACTACATCCCAGGTAATTATATCAATACTGCCCTAATAAGGGCAAGTTTTAAATTTGAGGTTCCATCTCCAGGACGGAGATAGTTATGATAAACTGGTAGCATACAAAAGTTTTATAGATGAAAGCTCAGTTCACCTCAGTGCTCAGTCAGCCTTCAGTCTTTGTGACTGGAGTTTTATGCAGTGATGGAGGTCCTGGAAAGAAACTCAGTGTTTCCTCTCCACCTGTGCCTAGAGGTAACTTTTGTTTTTCTGAGCCTTTAACATGTTTCACAAACAGCAAATGACAGATCCTGCCACAGGGGTTAAGCTGCTTGAGGTTGGGCCTTGACTTGTTATTTTGCACAGAAAATTAATTAATGGTAAAATCTAAACAAGGAGAAGACAGGGATGTACCCTGTAACATTAGTGCAGGAGGAGCACAAGCGATGTGGAAACAGAAAATGCCAGGACTTAATTCTTCCTTCTCCCAGCAGAATTTAATTTTTATTAGCTGTGCTTATTATCCTTATCTCCACAGGATTTTACATGCTGCTGATGAGTTCTAAGTATGTGTTTTTCTCTTTTTTTTGCAGCAGAGGCCTTTGTGAGGCTGCTGTACTACTTCCAGACCTGACTGCACCTCATGGGCTGTCACTGAGAGCTGTATGGAGACACCAGCTCACACTGGCCCTACATCAGGTAAATACCTAAACTACGTGTCATGGCATGGAGGACAATCTTAAGACAAGGCAGACTTATGTGCTCCACATTAAGCAGGGCAAGTAACCTTGTATTTAAAAAAGTATAGTATCTAACAGTGGCTTTACATGTTTACTAAGTCCTGTTTGCATCTGGTCTAGTTTGGACCACATGTGTAACTGACACATGGGTTTAGGCACCTAGAAAAGATATTTAAATTCACTGTGGATGATTTTTTATCATTTCCTTCATGCTTTGCTTTTTATGAGTGCTTATTAAACAAAACTTCCATAATAGGGCAAGAGGGCTGTGGAGGGAAAGCTGCACAGACATGGAAACCCTTATGAAGAGTGTACAAGACAGCTGTAAAGCAGCCTCAAAAGATGGGACTTTGCAGGCACTTCTGCATGAAACCTCGGGCAGCTTAAGATTTCATGTCCTTTTCAGGTCTGAATAAGCATGATAGGATTTCAGTTTTGTGAGCTGTCCTTTAAATGTGTGAGTAGATTCACATTTCAGTGCCACAGAGCAGCAATAAATCAAGCCTAACTGGACAACTGTATCAGGCTGCCTGCTTCCTGTTTCCTGTATTTGGAATGAGCTGCAAAATGAGCAGGCCTGTATTGGATAAACTGACTTGGCATGGTTTCCAGAAGAAACTGCAGAATAGTTAGACAAGCCCAATTAAACAATAGAGTCTCAGCTGTGTAACTGTGTAACCACTGCGAGTCTTCCTAGGTAAGTGTGATAAACTCTTCAAATTACTATCACCCTGCAGTGTGCTTGGTCAAGGGTGGATAGAGAAATATATGGTTTTATGGCTATTTGCATATCAAGTAATTCTTTTATGTAAATAGGGTTACATACACCTCAAGCTAATGTGTGTCTGCTTATATCAGAATCTGAATTTGAATTATATCAGAATTTGAATAGAAATTAATTTATACTGGCTATTACTTGATTTAAAAAACAGCTTCTCAAAGCAGAAATCATGTTTTGGTGGTGGTATAAAGACAGCAATTAAATCTTCTTTCACAGCAATTGCAATCTTTTCCCCTGTTACATAAATGGGTTTAAACAAACATTCATAAAGTTTGATAATTCACAGGATGGTTCAAGTTGGAAGGAAGCCCAGGAAGTGTCCAGCCCAAACTCCTATGCAAAGCAGGGTGAGCTCTGAGGTCAGAACCAGTTGCTCAGGGCTTTATCCAGTCTGTCTGAAAGCCCTTGAGGATGGAGAGTACACAGTCACTCTGGGCAACTGCCTGACTGTCTTAATGGGGGAAACATTTGTTCTTTTGTCAGGTGTCTACCTCTCATTTCAATTTGTGCCTCTTGCCTCTCATTCCCCATGCACCACTATGAACAGTGTGGCTCCATCTCTCCCTCCCATAGGTATCAGCAAGCTGTTGGTAGGTCCCCTGAAACCTTCTCTTCCTCAGGCTCAACAGGTCCAACTCCCTCAGCTTCTCCTCATAGGAAAAGTACTCCAGCCCCCAGCCATCTTGGTGAACCTGTGCTGAGCTTGCTCCACCTCATTGCCTTTCCTAAACAGAGCGAGCATGAGCTTTCCTTACCCGTGAGGGTGAGATTAAAGAAAGGCATGGCACTGCACACCAAGATACCAGAGGATGGGTACCTGCTAACGCCAGCTTCAGGGCCTTGAACACACAAGGCTTCTTCTGGGAGCTCTCGTAGAGGGACGGCAGAGCGATGGTCTTGCAGGTAGACTGAAGGAAGAGGTAAGCACTGCCAGTCCAAGGAGGGGAGCTGCCTGCCATCTTCAGCACCCTGCAAAATCACACAGGCAAGCTCAGAGGCCATAAGGGAAATGTCCTGATGCCAGGAGAATGTTATAGCACAGGCACAACAGCTTATGGGGATATTCTCTTACTTCTTGGAGCAGTGCTGATGTTGCTAAAGCAAGTGTAGCCTTTGAGGGGTTTACTGTTATTCTGTAAAGCACACCACAGTGGGACACCATATCCCAAAAAGAGCAGCTCGCAAAGCTTTGCTTTCATTTTCCACTGCAGTCCATTCATTTCGAAGTCCAAAGGTACTCTGAAGCAGAGTTTCAGTCCGTGTGCCTCTGACTAGCCAAGCTGGCAAAATGTGAAATGATTGAAGCACTCCAGGGACCACCCAGCAGTCCTGGCTGTGGCATGCTCCCATGGACTGAAGCTCTATTGCAACCAGAGACGTTTTCCTTAAGGTCCTGGTGGCTTGGTTGTTCACAGGGCCCAGAGCTCTTGTAACAGGATACTCTACACAGGCAGGACAAGGGTAATAGGTTTAAACTAAAAGAGGGTAGATTTAGATTAGATATCAAGAAATTTTTTATAGTGAGGGTAGCAAGGTACAGGCATAGAGAGGTGGTGGATGCCCCATCTCTGAAAATATTCAAGGCTCGGTGGGACTGGGCTCTGAGAGACCAGACCTAGTTGAAGATGTTTCCGGTCACCGCAGAGGAGTCAAACTGGATGGCCTTGGAAAGGTCCCTTCCAGCCCAAACCATTCGGTGATTCTGTAGCTCGGGGTACCCCTCTGCTTTGTTAATGCCCTTTGCTCTTGTGCCTCTGCAGTGTTAACCCAGCGGGTCTCTTCCCGTCCAGCGAGCACTGCCCCGTCCCAGCCCCCGGCCAAACCGCTGCGGGGTGCTTCCAAAACCAGCCCCGGACCGTAAGTCACGTTTGCCATCACGGTCATTGCCTTTTCGCTGACTTCGGCAGGCGTCAGGCCGCCGCTGCTCAACTCCCGTCACAGCCGGGCTGTGAGGGGGCTGTCCCAAAGGGAAAAGCGCCGGAGCAGCCGCCGGCTCCATCCCGCCGCGCTGTGCCGCCCGCGGGCCCGGCGCTGCCCGGCTGCCCGCTCGGTGCCCGGTGTGCCCCCAGCCCGGCACCGAGAGCCCGCAGCGGCCCCTCCAGCCCGGCCCCTCGCTGTCCCGGCGGGACCCCCGCCCCGGCCCGGCCCGGCCCGGCCCGGCGGCGTTACCTCCTCAGCGCCGGCCTCGGCCCCACACTTCCGCCCCGGCGCGGCGCCGCGGCGGGCGGGGAAACGGGAAGGCGAAAGTAAATCCCAACAGCCCTTGGAATGGCCGGCGGCGCTTCCCTCCGGTGCCTGCTGATTGTCCGGGCCCGCCCCGGGGGCAGGGGCTGCTGCGGGAGCCGCGGCCGGGGCTTGCGGACACCTTGACGCCTCAGGTGTCCCCGCCGCAAGGCCGCCCACACAGCTCGGTGGCTCTGGTGCAGGTGAGGGTGTGACATCTGTCAGAAGCACTCCGTGCAGGTGGCTCCAGAGCTGCCCGAGGGATGCCATGCACGGATCTCTCTGGACCATTAGGGATGGAGGCCAGTGCGGTGGCTTGAAGCCCCTGCGTGCCTTGTGGCTGACACACGGAGGCTGCAGTTGTCAGCTTTTCCCCGTAGTGCTGCTGGTGAGAGCTTGGATAGGTGGAGAGAATGAAGCAGCATTTCCCAAGTCCACGAGAGATTCTGTGCCAAAGCATGATTTGGGTCTCCTTTGCTCCTCAGGTAGCAGCCTCCTGCCCAGGCTGCATCTGCCTTGCACAGGTGCCCTGTGAGCTGAAGGATAACAGCAGCTCCCTTGTTTGTCCCCAGCTGGTGAAAAGCTGGCATGGGCCTGGGGCCAGATTTTGGGCTGACGTGCAAGCTGCAGGCACTCTGGCTTGGCAGTGGTTTGTGCAAATTGGGCGCCTGAACTGCTAAAAAGAGCAGGAAGCATTTTAAAACACTAAAAATACCTATATATCTGATGCTATTTTAAAACAACGGCATTTTAACAATAAACCTAATTCATTTGCTAAAGCAAAGATGTGATTCAAATAGAACTGTAAAGGGGTTAACCTAGGCTAGATCTCCTGGGTGCTCTGGTTCACAGGGTCAGATCCAGGGGGGCAGGCAGTTTCCACAGACCCCTTCAGGGTCAGCAAGCCTGATGGGGCCAATGCTTCTGGAAACAAAGCATTTACTTGCTAACAGTTTTAGCAAATGAGTTCATACATTTAAAGGTCTGTCTGATAGGGCTAAGTGAACTTGAACATCCCAACATTTCACTATAAAAGCCAAACCTGAAGCAGTGTTGGCTCCCAGAACCAGGTGGGAACTACAGTGTGACTGCTGTGGGGAGCATCACTCACCCATGTCCTGGAAATGTTCTCTCCTTGAAGCCAGTCTGCCTTCTGTATATTGTGGGGGTAAAAAAAGAATGGCTAGCTGCGCCCCAGGTTTCTCCTCTGCTGACCCTTGCTGAGTGTGTACTTTCTGGGAGCATCCCTTGGGGCTAAATCAAAGTGCTTGATGAGCACTTGGAGTTTCATCTTGTTATTTCCCACTTGAGAAGTAAAGATGGTAGTGAAGGGAGAGGCTGTGGCTCAGTGGGGCTCAGCTGGCACAGAATTGGGGTGTCAGGGTTCAGAGGCAAGTCTGCCTGGGGGGCTGGGGCTGGGATGGGCCAGGCTGCCCTGAGCTGGCAGCAGTCAGAAGGCTACAAGCACACTCTTACAGTCTGTGAGATTTATGATCCTTCTTAATGGCTCCAAAGGCTTTAAGGAAATCATAAAACAAAAGGAGCTGAATATGAGATCTCATTTTGCTGTAACACTTTGGCTGATATGTGTTACAGACAGTATTAAAAGCAGCTAAAAGTAGAAGAACAATGTCCAAGCTGTCAAGGTGATTTTCAGAGAAAATGGCAGAAGATGCTGAGTTCCCAGGAAGGAAGCAGGATGGTGTCACTTGGTGCTGTAGCTGGGCTGGGGGGAAGGGGGTTGTCGCTGATATGATGGCAGATAAGATAGCACAGCTGCTGTGCTGCTGCCACCTCACACTCCCAGTAAGGAGTCACGCTTCAAAGCAGCACATTCTAGAAAAACGTGCAGTTGTGTTCCCCTCTGCGTTACGCTTTTTGCGTTGCTGCTCCGTACTTGCTTCATGGGTTTCAACTCCAGCTCTTCTTTGAGGCTCTTTTGGTGCACAGGTTTTTATTTAAATGAAACCTGCACTGCTGAGGGAGTGCTGTGACTCTGGGACCTGGGGCTTCCACAGCCCCAGAGAGGGTGTGCCATGAAATTCAGAGTGAGACTGTGAGATCAGGCCCACACTCCAGTGCTGGCCTGGGAAGGGAAATATTTGCTTTTAAAATATGAGAGGGCTGAAAAAACATGTCATGGTGGGAGTGTAGTTTGTGCAGAAATCTAGAAGAGAGGTGCAACACATTTTGGAAGAAGGCAAATGGAAAAGTTAGGTAATGATCTGATGCTCTAAACCTTCTTCCCAGACACTTACTCTTCTGCATTATAGTTCACAGGAAAGGTTGATTAAAATACATGTTTCCCTTATTGTGTCAGACATTTTAAGTGCAGTTTCTGCAAATTGGAGTCAAAGTCAAAAAAGGATTTTTTTACAAACTGCAACATCTCATCCCAGGCAAGGACCACCATCATTAAGCTGCTGGTTTCTACTCTAGGCCTTCTGTTGCACTATCAGTAAAAAAATGGATATGTAAGGCTGTTTTCTGTACAGAGCTTCTGCTTGCAAAGAGGTTTTTCCCCCACAGTTTGAGAAATCTGTCTCAGCTTTTTGAATACCAGTGCAGCAGTACCAGAAAATTCCCTTGCATTTTTATTACTCAGAGTAGCAAAACCTCACTGTAGGAAAAAAGACCATTTTTTCCCCAAAAAGCTTTCATCTGACATTTTTAACTCTTGAAAAGTATCACTCAGCTTCTTAGGATTAATTGAAAAACAAAAACAAAACCAAAACAAACTGTGAAACAACTGACCAAGAGATTTTCATAATTTTTAAAGTTCAAATTCAAAATATAGTGAAATTTCAAGTTTGAAACCTCTGTAGTCCAGTTTGATTTGTTAGTTAAATTCTAATGTGTGTGGCCCTTTTTTTTGTTGCTGTTGTTTTATTTTTCTCAATTCTATTGAGAATTAATTGCAGTTTTGGATGTTTTCCCATGTTTATACCTGACTGAATTGTTAAAATATCTGCTCCAGAGCCAGAACCATGGCGTTACATCCCAGAAGAAATCCTTGTTTGAATATTGTATTATCTTTCTCTTTGAGATGGACACAGAAACTTCCAGGTACGCAGACAGGGGGCTGCAGCTGTTCCTTCCAGCTCTGTTTGGCACTTCACAGAGGTCAGGTGAGAGAAGTGGGGTCCTCTGCCCAAGCACCTTTGCAGGAATAGCCTGATCCTTATTTCCAGTGCGTGTCAAACATCTACTCCACTCTTCCATGGCACTGCTGACCTTGTGACTTCTATGTGTGATGATTTTACCTGGCATGACTAGCACCTGCTTATATAAAATTTGTGTCACTTGCTGGTTTTCGGTTTTAGGGGAAATACCACATTCTTAGTACACTAAGTTGCCCTTTGAAAATGACAAGAAAAAATTAATGCACTGTTATCCTGACACTAATCTTGTCTCTTCTCACCTCCTGACTCTTTCAGTGTTTGGCCTTAAAGGACTCTGTAGGCATCAGGTGAGAAATCTGTTCCATTTTTTAGCAGGAATGTTGAGCTTTGCAAGTTTTTGCTAAGGACCTCAGAAAAATTTAATATTGATTTTATATTTTATTATGTTATTTAAAGAGCAGTTTCTGAGTTGAAATTACTCTGGCATTAAGCCACACATGTATTTAGAGCTATTTAAGATTTTATATTAAAGATAAAACCATATTGTCTAATAGACTCTATGTGTAGCTGTTTTTAGCATCCTGTTTTCTCATGCAAGAGCTAAATAATTTCTGTTGACAAATAAGATAGTAGCTAAACCTGCTTACACTTTTGACTTTTCAAAGTCTTGCTGAAGATGTACAGCCTGGGTCTGGCCAGCTCTCCTTCGTCTATGCCAGCCAAAGTTTAGGACAAGAAAATTCCAAACTAACAACTCAGGTGCCTTCAGCCACCTGGGATGTCTGTGCCTGGGTGTCCCACAGACTCTGGGCAGGTGGGTTTGCTCTGGTGACTTGCCCACCTCCCAGCATAAGGTGGGCAGCACGTGTTCCCTTTGCATGACGCTGCGTATTTATTCACAGCTCTGCGAGATCGGCTGCAGTGCATTTTCATTCTGTGCATTGTTCTCTGGGGCTGGTGATGCCATCCCATTGTGCTGAGTTTTTAAGAGTGCGAGCAGCACTGCTGATGTGACTCCCTGGACGCCTACTTTCCACTGGCCTGGGATAAAATTGGGTGGCTCATTCTCTGCGGGACGCGGGCGCGTGCAGGGACGCAGGCGCGCCCAGGGCAATGGGGTCAGTTTAGCCGGGACACTGCAAAGCTATGCAGGATTCACCCAGCTCTCTGGTGATGGATGGATACTCCAGCAATGTCCCAGCCTTCCTAACAAAACTCTGGACGCTGGTGGAAGACCCTGAAACGAACCATCTCATCTGCTGGAGTTCTGTAAGTACAACAGGTATCGGGTGTCACTAATACCTGCAACAACAGGGAAAACCCAGGTGTGAGGCCTGAGAACTGCACGGCACAGGAGCTGCCCTCTGCTTGGCAGGTGCTGCCCTGGCAGAGTGCAAAAACAGGATACAAGAACAGGCACTTTTGGATATACTTGGTATTATTTATCTGAAATATCATGGCATTTCTGTTTCAGAGGGGCAACTGTTTCGTGGGTGTTTTAATGACGATATTTACACATTTCACTTGAAACATCCTAAAAAGTGTCTAATTTTCTGATTCTAAGAATTCCACATGCTTTGAGAGAAATATTTTTCACCTTGCTTGAATCTGCAGCTCCCTAACATTTTCTAGGAAATATGCAAAACCCTTAAAAAGTTTCACTGCTGTTTGGTGTTATCTCACATGTGCTTCTTAGCAGCTTCTCACAAATGTCTGGGTGGAAGGCAGCAGATAAAGAGCACTCAGAACTCAGATTCAAACCTGTAATTTAAACAGATCTCAGACTGAATTGTTTTGGAAGAGCTTTACTTGATTTTTCAATGAGTCTGTGTGATGATAATAGTGATGTGGTTATATATTGTCTGTACAGCTTCACAGGGATAGATTGCTTTGCTTTGGCTTCTTATTTTTCACAGAGGCATTAATATACTAACTGCAAGCACAGAAAAAAAATATTTGTCCCCTTTATACAACAATTGATACCACATTGTGGTTTTGACCTACAACTTGCTGCAAGTAATATGATTTGTTTTCAGCAGGGAGTTATTAGATAAGCTATGTACTTAAACTTGTTTTCCAAAATCAAGAATCTAACAAAAGCAGATTTAAAGAGAGGTGGTAAAAATGTCTAAAGCAGCCTTTCTTTTATATACTTTGTGTACAGTAGACTTTTCATTCCAAACCTGAGACAGGATTTCAGCTGCATTGATATCTGTGACCATGGTTGTTTGATGCTGGTATTACATGGCCATACCTCTGAGAACCACCAAATTTTAAATTTTAAATAAGGATTTTAAAGCTATAAATAATTTTCTAACCTGTGTAAATAGTCCCCTCTCTGTTATACTTAGAACACTGTTATTTTAGATTGACCATCACTGTGCTTTGATTTCCTGGAAACTAACATGCAGCTATATCCTTGGAGGTTTTGGTTAGGCTTTTAGGTGTCTAATTTTCCTGTTGTTGCAGGTATCCATGTTTCTCATATTCTTCAGCTTCTATATATTGGTGATGTTGGAGCTGAGAGATTGTGTGTATGCCTAAGATTTCTGGGTGTAATCAGTAGTTCTAGAAAACAGGACCCATAAGGACCTGTGAACTGTTTCTTAGGATGAAGAAGAGATGGAGAGGAAATGCAGTAATGGTTTATATATACACTAAAGTCTGTTGTGAGGTGGAAAGGAAAACTCTGCTCTCTGTGTCTGTAGTAGATTGGACAAGAAGTAATTAAATTCATTTTTTAAATGGAAATGCAGTAAGAGAGAACTGGCAAATTCCTGGACTAGCACTTGTCTTGTCAGAGCACAACATGCCTGTCCTGGTGGCTCTGTCAAAAGCAGTTGAGATAAGCATCTGCCACGATTGTTGTGCTGCAGAGTCAGTTTTGCTTTGGGCAGAGAAGACTTCCAGAGTTTCTCTGAGTTTGTGCTCCCATGGTGTAAAACAGCCACAGCACAGCTGCAGTGTGGGAACAAACTGACACATGTACAGTTCACCGGTGAGCACACAGTAACCCCAAGACCTCTTGTGTCTGTAGGAGCCTTTCTGAGTGTGCCAGCTTCTGAGAACATTGTGGCCCTGAATTCAAAGGAATGGCCTCTCATGAAAGGCCATAAGGACTTGTTAAGGTACACAAAACTCTCGTGCTTCTCATTTTCCATCAGTGGGTCCAGCCTGGGACACAAAGCTGTATCCCAGAGTAAGGAGGCAGAAGCACAAGAGAAGCAGAATAAACCAGCTCTGTCCCCAGGGCAGTGTCTGCAGTTTTGGGAAACCCTGGTCCCTGCTGTCCTGTCGGCAAACTGTCTGTGAGGATAATTCCAGCATGCAGGCTGTCAGTGAATCTTTCAAGTGCTTGATCAGCCTTTGCTTCTGCTGCATAGGGTAAGGAATGATAGGAAAGACCCCAAAAATGGTCAAAGAGCACTGCTGAGGCACAGTCATGTTCAGTGTTTGCAGTAGTAAGCAAGGAGCAAGAAGTGCAGCTGACCCAAAGTCCCGTGTTAGTGGGTGTTAATTGTTAGAGCTGCAAAATGAGCCTGAGCCAGAGGCAACTGGCACCATTTGGTGATGGAAATGCAGTGTAGGGCAGCAGGGTTTGCCAGCTGGCTGTTTTCTGGTGGCCATGGGCAGGCTGCAGGTACACACCAGCCCCTCTTTAGTCACTGAGCTGCACTGGGATTGAGCAGCCCTGATTGCACTCCCTGTTTTAGAGACTTCCAGACTTCCCTGAGAGCACCCTCACAGCTGCAGACACCCAATGGGTGCGAGGTGGGACTCACACCACTGGTACCTCCTACTGCACACAGAGCCTGAGGGCTCTTGCAAAACACTGTCCTGTATCACAAACCAGCCCCTGGCATGCCCAGCCAGGCTGACACACCTCTGTCTGATGTAATAGCACTGAACACAGCAGGAGGATGACTGTGGTGTGCTGGTCTCAGACCCCTCCCTGCCAACATGGTGCAGGCCCTGGTGTCTTTAGCTCTTGTCCCTTGAAACTCAGCTGCAGCTGAGGCAAGTCCCCCCTAATATCTGCTGATGTCATTGCACTAATGTAGCTGTCAGCAGGTAGAAGGCCAGGCAGGGAAAGCACATGGCCTGCAGTGCATCTTCTCTGCCAGCAATCCCAGGCAGTTTGCCTTGTTTGGCAGTCATGGATCTTTGCAATGCAACCCCAGAAATGGAAGATTTATCTGATTAACATGTGTGTTGCTAGCTTGGACTGCAAAGCGTGATTGTCAACATTTTGTCGGTTGCCCTTGTGGTTGTTTACTATTAAAAATAATCAATAAAATGTGTGTAGAGCTTCTGGGCAAGTCTGGTGTCTCCAGAGATGATTTGCTTCTTGCCTTGCTGTGTTTCTTGTGCCATGTCTCCAGGCAGTACTCCCTCCAGGGCTGCTGTGCTCTGGAGCCGATGGATTTGGGTTAGATCTGAACCAGTAGGTTATAATGGCAATTCCCACTTTCAGGGCCTTCTTAAGACTTGAGTCTTTCTGAGAAGTCCATGAAAGAGAGGATGATCACAGACTACCTACCAGCTATTTGGGCACAAAAGTCAGTGGTTTCTTTCTTACATCCAAGACTCTCAACTAAGCAGTGACAAAAAGCAGAAAAGTATCAAACCTGCACCCATAGAGTCCTGACTGTACCGGAACTGAAAGCGACACATCTGTCATTGAGGGCTGTTCTCACTCTTCTTAGCTTCAAGGTGGCAATTCAGAGAACAAGACTTCCCCTGCTGTAGGACTCCTCTTGGGCCCCTCTCATGGTCAGGGATGCTCCCCTGACTTTGCCTGTGTCCTTATCTCCTTTGCAGAATGGCACCAGCTTCCATGTGTTCGACCAAGGCCGCTTTGCCAAAGAGGTGCTGCCCAAGTATTTCAAGCACAACAACATGGCCAGCTTCGTGCGGCAGCTGAACATGTGTAAGTGCAGCTCCCAGGGCCAGGACAGTGGGCCCCACAAATAAGGGGGGGTGACAGGAGGCATGGGAGAGAATTGTGCAGAGAAAAGTTTGGGGTCTCATGTATGTGACTTCTTGTGGCATTATTGATTTTGCCAAAGAGGATCTGCCTCTCAGATCCCAGAGTAGTGATCTCCTTGTATTTACCTTAAATTTCAGCATGACATTTCTGTTAGATTACATTTCTAGGATTACATTTATAGGATGTTGGCTAAGAACTTTCACCTACCAGGTATTCTGCTTCTCTTGCATTGATTTGATGACCAATTATTATTAATTTTCCATTTTATTCTGTATGGAGTTTTATCCAGCCACCAACTGTAACACCTCCCCCAGAATATGCTGTTCTTGTGGGTCGTGTGCCCTGACCTTATCCCTTTCACCAGCCATATCACTGAATTCAGTAACAGACAGTTCCTCTCCCTGCAAACCTTGCCTTGCTGATCCCTTAAAGAAGGTTTAGGTGTAATTTTCAGCCACTTCAGCAACATGACTGTTCTAATAGGTGTTGGAAATTTTTCAATGAGAAATTAAGTTCCTTAGTCAGTTTTAACTTTGCTATTTCACTCTGTAGTAGCATTTTAGTAAATTTTAGGCTAGTCCTTAAATACAGCTTAGAAACTTCTAAGGACTTCAGAGAAGTACTCAAAGCAGATTTCCAAATGTGCACGTGACCCTTTTTTCCAAAAGTGACACCTGTTGATGGTCTGTGCCTTTGAAAAACCTTCCCCTGAATCCCCGTGGCTTGCAAATTGAGACAGGAATTCCCTAAAAGCTGGCATTCCAGCTCCTGGCAGAGCAACGTGCCTGTGATGGAAAGGCTTTCATGGCACAGGCTGCAGCATAGGTGGCCAGTGGGATGCACAGGGCTCTCCCTTGCCCTGGATTTCTGGTGGTTATGGCCCAAAAGCATGTCCAGGGATAAGCACTGGCAGCTCAAAAAGTGTGGAGGGTGATCAGAAATGTCCTCAAGAGTGACGAGGGTGGGAGGTGGAGGGAGTGCTGGCTCCTGTTGCCCATCAGCCATGTCCTCTCTGTGCAGATGGCTTCAGGAAGGTGGTGAACATCGAGCAGGGCGGGCTGGTCAAGCCTGAGAGGGATGACACCGAGTTCCAGCACCTCTGCTTCCTGCAGGGCCACGAGCACCTCCTGGAGCACATCAAGAGGAAGGTGAGGGGCACTGTGTGGGAAGGGGGAACAGGCACCTGCCAGATCCTGCTCAGCATAACTCCAGCATCATCCTGGTCTTGTTCCTGTCCTCCCCACACATATGTACACCTGGGTTGGGGGTTCTTGGTCTGCAGGGCTTGGCCTGCATCAGAGTTCTGTCTGTGTTTTTCAGCTCTGTTACTCTGTATCACAAGATATATGTGTAGTGCTGCAGGGCCAGACTTGCTTCCCACTCCTCTGCCTTTTAATTGTTACTGCTTTCTTAGAGAAATATGGCATAAGTCCTGCAGGGTCCTCAACAGCCATCTCTTTTTCTTGCACAAGAAACAACCTACTCCTGCCCTCTGTTTTTTGTCTTTTGACCTATTATTAATACTCTCAAAGTGTTGTTCTCTCACTGAATTAGCATAGCAACTTCTGAAAAGGGACTTGAGGAAAAGCCCTTTGGAAATCCAAGTGTAGTATGTCAAATTGAAGCATTTCATCAGACTCATCCCTGTAAAACATAGGGCTTGATTTTGTATCTCTGTAGTTAAAAGTAGAAAGATTAAATCAATCTAGATCTATTCCTCCCTGATACTTAAAATACTTTTGTTTTGCCCCAAGCTGATTTGAAATAGGTCCCCACTCTGACAGGGAATGTAATTCTGCCAGCAGACTCTCTGTATTAATAAGATTCATCCTGTGCTTTGCTCTATTTGGCTCTTGCAATAGTGCCCCTAGAATAGTTCAGACTCTTTGGCACATGGCCTGTCCTGGTATTTCAGCTGGTGACAGTCCTGCACCTGAGCCACCACAAAGACTCTCTCTGTCCATGGCCCTTCTTGCACAGGTAAGATCTACCTTTGATTTTTTTCACCTCAGGTGTCAGTAGTGAAAAATGAGGAGACCAAGATGCGCCAGGAGGACCTCAGCAGGTTGCTATACGAGGTACAGATACTGAGAAGTCAGCAGGAGAACATGGAGTGTCAAGTGCAGGACATGAAGCAGTGAGTTGAATCCTACTCAGGCTGCTTCTTATGGGCATTTGCTTCTCTGGAGTGGGGAATGGTTGAAAGGAGGAGCCTTGCACACTTCCCTGCCCAGGGAGCACGTGGAACCAGAGATCTGTTGAGACAACAACATGTAGGATTTCTATGCACATCTGATCTACAAAATACAAATTAATGCTCAGCCTCTCTGTCTCATTTGTTTTCCCTTCACAGATGAGGAAAGTGCAGAAAAGGTCAGACAGGAAATATGTGCATAACCTGGGGACTTAGATAACTATTGCCTCCAGATGGAAATGGTGATAAAGATGTAACTCTCACACATACAAGAGTCCTTGGCAGAAATGTGGTGGAGTCCACTCCAGCTATGAAGAAATTAACTTTCTGCCATCATTCACCTCCAAAATTTATGACTAACCTAAAAAATATAGAATGTTATAATATATAACATAAGATCTTCTGTATCATATACTCCATGGACTCATTTCCCTGAGACTATGTCATCTGAAGTGGCCAGAATTGTTGGATAAGAGCAAACCCTGATGCAATGCTTCCTGCATGTGGCTGCCTCCAGCTGTCTGAGACTCTGGGATTTTGTGATTCAGACATGGTCACTAAAAGATTAGGAAGTGGATATGGTTTTATAAATTATGTACTTGGAGTGGTTTTTATTTGTCTCCAGAATTTTAATATTTACAGAGAGCTTTGTTTAAAAAGCACTTGAATAATCAAATAGACCCAAACCCTTTCTTTTATAGTGAGACCTGGTATTCATACACCACCAGATGACACTGTCATTCTGGGCCTTAAGAGTAACACTACATACTGGGAAACTTCATTCCAGAGCAGCACCTTACGTGGAATGGATACATATTTTTATCCTGCATCAATTTTTAATGACTCCCACACTTAGCACATGCTTGAGTTTGCACTGTGAAATCCAGATACAGCAGCAATGAGTTTCTGGGCTTGCATTTGATTTAATGAGTTCCAGTATTAGTGATTTGGCCTTGATTTTAATTTATTCTCCCTTTTGATTTGCATGTTCCTTCCCCCCATCTGGCAAAATTGCATTCAACTGATGAAAATAATATGATTTTTATAAACTAAGACAGAGGAGAAATCCCAAGCTGAATCCATGTTAAGAAATTTACACTGGTGAAGAACAATTAGGACATAACTCCAGTAGAAGCTGTCAGACTAAGGAATGATGCTTTGCTGAAAATCCTGTCAGGACCAAAAGCTCACTGCAGAGATTCTTGCTGTACAAGCTGTTCTACTGTGCTCTTTAGATCTCTGAGCCTTGCCTTCCCAGTTCTAGCATCCATCCACACTAGAAAGACTAAAAAGCAAAAGGATTTATCAGTTTAACCTGTATGATAGGTTTTGCTGGCCCGACAGTTTAGGTACATCCATATACTCTAGAGATAACTTGGCTGGCAAAACCTTTTTTGGAATGGTCTTGGCTGGCATCCAGACCTGAAGGCAGCACAGTAAATAAACTCTGAATCTCTCCATCCCACTTAGGGGCTGACTGTTAGAGGAAGCCTGTAAGCTCCCCTCTGTGCTGCTTCATTTACAGACAGAAAATAAATTTTCTTTATGAAAGCTGGACACAGGTCTGTGCTGGGTTAAATCAGTGGCTCCCACTATTAACATCATTACAGTCCTCCTAGTTCAAAGCTCTGAGATGCAGGAACATCTTTTTGTCTGCTCCAGTCATGACCAAACATGCATTTGAACCACCACTTGTACGAGTTTTAAGCAGGTAGAATACACAGGGTCTCTGTTCATAGTCTTGTCTTTGGGAGCACTGGTGCAGCTGGGGACAGGTTGGGCTTTCTTGGCTCCCATGGAAGGACAGTGTGGGTGATCCAAATAACTCACAGTCACAAATAAGGCCATGCTGAAATTCTGAGTTTGGCCCAAATGTTCCACAAAAACATGTGTCCTCTTGTTACCTCCCCCTATAAATATTGGCTTTTCTTTATTTGTTTTTCCTCCATGCTTTGGTGTATAGCTCTTTTGAGATCAAGGAATTAAAAGGAAGGCAATTGAATGACCTTGTTTGGGACACGTGAAAAGAGCCAAACACTGCAAGAGCCCAGAAGTGAGACAGATTTTTGCACAGTTGAATCTACTGTGCATCATGGCAGCACCATGGGCTGTTGACATTTCTGTTCTCATGGAAAATGTCTGTTTCACTTTCAGGCAAAATGAAGTTCTTTGGCGGGAAGTTGTTTCTCTCCGGCAGAACCACTCACAGCAACAGAAAGTCATCAACAAGGTAGTTGTCATATAAACTCCAAACTTGCTTGTGCTGCCTGGTCTATGTCCTCCTCTGATTTTTTTTCTTGTCCCATAATCTCCACACTGTGATATTGCAGTGTAATTATTTTCCCTTTCTTTTAAGTTGTGTGATGCTTTTATGTGTCCTATGGAAACAAGTCATTAACAAAGATCATCAAATCATGACCATGCCCTTAAGCAAAAGATTTTAATTTCCTTGTCAGTCCTTTCTGCGATGTTAGAAACCACTTTCTGTTGAAATCCTGAGCAAGAGAGCACAACTCTCACTAATTGTCCTGTGTTGGCTGTGTTCTGGTTGTACCAATGCCTTTGGGCTTCCCAAATCTTCCTCTTCCATTTGTTCATGGAAGGAACCCCACTGCTGCCAGCACCAGTGGGAAGCTGCAGGTGGCAGAAGTGGCCACCCATTGCCCCACTGGGGGAATGTGACAGCAACTACTACATTTTCTGGTGTTACTGGTATAGTTGAGGAATTACTGTACAATCTTTTAGGCTGCACAACCATCTCCCTTAAAGTCTATCATGACCAGTATAGAAAAGGCCTCTCCAGTGATTCCTGGATGGTGCTGACATGGCTGAGCACGTCACACATCCCAGTCCCCATGTTCTGACCCTCACGTGGCATCACGGAGTCATAGGACTGGACAGAAATGCATGAGGCTATCAAGCCTTCCTCCAGCTCTGGGGGTGAATCAGCCACATGCTTCATTGTAGAGGCTTTTATGGAACTCTATTTTGTTATATTGAGCAATGAGTAAGAGCCAGCTGTGATATATAATAATGATGCTCTCTTTGGAGGTCAAAGCAAAGCATTAAGTTCAAGCTGACCTGAGAATATGTTGCTAAGTGATTCCTCTCCAAAGCTACTATTTTTCCTTTCTAGTGTCCTGTGTCAACACTGACATTCACAGAGCTGGAAAACTCAACTGAAAGAGCTCAGAGCCCATACAGGCTCTCTGCAGGGAGTTGCCTCTTTCACTTGCAAAGTCTTTGCCAGACTTCACAGCACCTCTTCTAAATGTCTCTGAAAACTTTAATGGATCCAGGTCTAACTCCAGGCCTAGGAATGTTTGCATTTGCACTTCACAGGACTTCTGTTAGGACCAGCTGAAGTTCTTTATGCACAAAGTGAAGAGAGAAAGTGCTGAGCACATGCATCCAGGAACCCTTGCACAAAGCAGGGTCTGGCTGTGTCCCTTGAAAGCCAGGGCAGGCTGTTTTGAGTTCTTGGACAGCTCATTTCTGTTTCAGGCTCCAATGTCTCATACAATTCGTCTCCTATATTCTATGGCTGCTTTGGGGTGCTGTTGGGAGGGAGGAATGTGTGAGATAAGAACGGCTGTGAGAGCAGAGAGTGCTGAATCACTCTGCTGATTAACACCGGATTTTGATCTCTCCTGACAGCTGATTCAGTTTCTGTTTGGCCAGCTCCAATCAAGCCCCAGCAGCACTGGGATAAAGAGGAAGCTGTAAGTACCCGTGTGTGGTGCACACGCTCACGGGTGCATAATGCTGCCCCCTCACTAAAAGCACAAGCTCAGCTCACCCAGGCGGGCGGTCACCGGACCGGGGCTCCATGGTGATGGGGAATGAATGGGCTGAAGTGCAGAGTCAGACCTGCTGACAGGCCCCATTCACTGCTCTGTAGAGAAGCACCGTGTCAGCTCGTGACCTTTATCTGGGGAACACGGTGCGCAGCGGGACATGGGAGTGCTAACTAGAGGGAGGCTAAAGGGCAGGACCCACTGCTGGTCTTACAGGTTCCAGTTTTGCCACTTGGCAGCAGTAGGAGCAGGGCTGGGCCCAGCCAGCCCACAGACACCTTCAGTTTGACCCATAGTCACTGATTGTGGTGTGTATCCAACACCGGCTTGGTGGTGTTAACCTGCAAGACTTACAAAGAGGAAGGTGGGAAAAAATTTTAGCTGAGGGGTATCTTTAGATGGGCTCTTAAAGGCAAGTGATTTGAGCAACTTGAATTAGGAAACTTAATGCCTTTCAGGAGAGCAGCTATGCCTTTCTTGTCCTGTGGTGCTTGTAATTTACAGTAGGGGAAGAGACTATTAAATGGAATTTGCTGAGGACAGGCCTGCCTCCAGTTCCCACCTTTATTGCCTTGTGGCCTTTGACAACTTAGAAACTTCTCCATGCTGCAGAGAAAGGAGCCAGACCTCCCACGAGCTGCTCAAAAGAGTCCATTTTCATTAAGTCAGTGTCCTTGTTTTTTGACTGACTCCTCTTGTGAGGTCTGTAAAGGCAATACAGGATTGAATGAAGGAGCTCATAATCTGTACAAGCCAGCAGGGTCTGTGCCTCTCTGCCTACCCCCTCTGCTGAGCCTCTTGAAAGAGCTAAACACTGCAGATAGCAAAGAAAAGGGTTCAAGGGGAGAATAGCAGCTGCTGAGGTTTGTGACTGGTGAAATTTTCCTCCAGTAGAGTGGGCAAGCAGAGAAATGAGATGCCAGATCTGACCTCTAATTTTCATGGTCAGGGCTGTGTTCTCCCTTGAAAATCTTTGCAACCCAAGAAATGTCTTAGCTACTGCTTTTTTGTAAAAAGGCAAAGAATTAGGAGAAACGATGCTGAAAAGGGAAGAAGAACACAGAACTAACTGCACAGCAACTGTATTGACCTCCTTATGATGGGGGATTACACTTCACAAAACCAGCTGCAATTTGCAAGGTAATTTAAGTTCCTGGTTCCTTGGAAACACAAAGATCTGTCTTCCAGAAGCCTCAGCTCTTGTGTCTGTCTATATCTGCATCCTTAGTGTTCTATCTTTCACAGTTGTGTTTTCCTGCCTCTCTTCTAACTGGCTGCAGGAAAGGATGGTGTGCAGCCTGGAGCTACTTGGTGCAGAGCAGAGTGCTGCCTGGGGGCTCTGGGTAGATTTGGGCAGGATGGGCAGGTCTGCATTCCTTCCCCTCTCTGTTGGGTTAAAGCTCTTTTTTGATGGTGACCTCCTCCAAAACTGTTGTTAGCTTTCTTTGCCCATAACACCGGGCAAGAAAGACAGAGCTGAGGAGAACCAGAGTACACAGGGGAGAAGAGCTCTTGGCTCATGGATGGTTTCTGTATGAGCAGCCAGGAGCTAGTCAATACATGCTGGAAGACAAAACTATTTCTCTTCACAGACCTCTGATGCTTGACAATGGGAACTCAGCTCCACCAGTGTCCAAGTTCAGCCGGCATTTGTCCCCAGAGCCCCTCCACGACCCCTATTTCATACAGTCGGTGGGTTCAGCCTCTGGGCTCTGTGGGATGGCTTTGGCCGGGGCGGGGAATGTTTGAAGCAATAATAGAGATTATGAAGTAAATAATTTAGCAAGAGTTTGGCAGTGAAGAGGAAATGAGGTTTGCTAAGCTGGGTGACATTTAAAATTCCTTCAGCTCCCCAGTTTTATGGATGCCTTCATGGGGGAGGCCATGGGCTTTGTGAGGAAAGGCAGACCCTGCACACTGAACTCTCCATGTTGTTATCCCAGCCTGCTTCACCTTGAGAGAAGAGAGGAAGATGTGAATTCTAAAAGTGGGATTTTTGTAGCCTCTGAGGGATCCCCACCATCATCAGAGCAGACACCAGACACTTCTGTCATGCAGTTAGAATACATGAGCTGGCATGAGAGGCTCATACGGCCCTCTTGGGCTGTATTGGATCTTTCCCTCCAGAGGAAGTTGAGCAGTCTAAGCAAAATGTCAGACATGCTAAAACCTCTTGGTTGCTGACACTTCACAGGGTTTATTTCACACCTGTACCTCTGTGTGGTTGGAGAAAAAATGAGAGGAAATTCTAATATTGCATAGTAGGTAAAAGCTTTTTTGGTTTCCATACAGGAGGAACTCAAAATCACAGTGAATAAACCCTAATCATCTTAGATAAGGCCTTGGATCTGTTTTGGGGTCAGAAGGATAAATCTATATGACTTTTGCTTTCCTCTTAGCCCTCAACAGAGCCTGCCTCTTGCTTAAACAGCCCTGCAATTGCTGGAGGACCCATCATATCTGATGTTACTGAAGCATCACCATCCAACATCATGAATATGCAATCCCCTCCTGAAAATGACAGGTAAACATGTTTGTGATTAAAAATAGGGAGAGTTGGGCATAAACATGCTTATGCAACTACTCTCAAGAATTTTTCGGCTGTAATTCTACCAAAATTTGTGTCTGATTCACAAATCTCTATAGAGATACGGGATGGAATACTTTTTTCCAGTTTGCAAAGTGGGTCAGATTTTCAGAATTAGAGGGGGTAATAACAGCATAATTTTTTTTTTTTTTTTTTTTTTTTTTTAAAAAAAAATTTTTTTTTTTTTTTTTTTTTTTTTTTGGAAACTTCCACTCCCCTCTTTGAGAAATATTCCATGTTTCTTTAGTCCCAAGTCCCAAGACAGAGACTGTCTCAGACTTGATCAAATAATGAGATACTAACACTTATTTGGTTTGTTGAGAGGGAGAAAGGAGGGTTTCCTTTTGGCTTTGGCAAAGAAGAAGCAATCAAATCTTACATCTAACAGCTAATGAGAACAGAAAGGTTGCATCACAACAACTTCCGATGTTTGACAACTTTTCTGTGAAAAGGCCCCAGTAACTTAAGAACTGAATAAAGAGGTATTTTAATGCTTATCTCTTCCTGCCACAGACATGCAGTGTATTTAGGGCTAGCAGCAGAATAGCTAAAGCTATGTCAGTGGAAAGTAAGTAGACAGATGAATCATGGAAACAGTTTCTCAGGCATAGAGGCAAGACAGTTATATTGTAGAAACTGCCTGTAAATCTGTTGCATAATTGAAACCATAACCATAAAATTAACTGGATTCATGTAAAGAGCTTCAGATTAAAAACAAAACAAAACAAAACAAGAAAAACCCCCAAGAAACCTGGAAGCCATTTCTAAAGCAGAAAAACTTTAGTACAACCTTCAAGTTAAGTTGCTTATTTCTCCTAATTACTGAGTGCCATCTGGTGGTTTCTGCTCTGTTCTGTGTCTGCACGACTTTAGCATCTGAGCCAGCCATGGCCCCAATCAATTCAGGTGTGGTACCTCCTAAAACAGCTGTGCTTCTGGTGGGAATTTAGGCCCCATGAGATGAGATGATGATCTGGAAGGAGTGTTGAGGAAAGCTCTGTAGTATCACGTACAATCTCTGTTATCTCCGTGCCTTTGTCACTTTGGCTCTAGCAGTGCAGGTTCACAGGGAGCTCTAAAGTCTCCTACAAGTAACACAAAGTAGATTTTTACACACAAGATGTTTCTAAACAAAACTTCATTGTCATTTGTCCATCTGGAAATAATGTGGGGTGCCTCTCCATTGGAAAAGGCAAACTTCTGCCTCCAACGAAGTAAAACATCTGACTATGACTGTCAGATCTCAACAGTTTCTGTTCAAGTCCTGGAGGGCCATAAGATCCTGACCTGTGTCATTGGGATCTCTAGAGTGCTTGCTGATCCAATCCTAGCTCCTGCATGGGAGGGTCTTACTGATCCCATTCTTATCTCTAGGGTGGAGACTTTTCTTTTTCAGGGGAATCTCTTTAGTCCAGTGTCCCCTTAACCTGTCCCTAACACTCACCCAAGAAATGATCAGTGCCTAGAAATTTATATTCTGTATTTGCAAAACAATTAAATGGGGCAAATTCATTATAGCTGTGACTGATGAAGTGCCTGCAGATATTCCAGCTGAGCATGTTTCTGGAGCTTGCTGAAAAGAAAAGAGGCTGCTGGCTTCTTTTGCCCATCTGAGGAAATGGAAAGACCTTCTGCGGCAGTTTGATGGGAAGTGGAAGCAAGGCCTGGTGCTCCTGCCCTTTCCAGTAGCACGAGGCCTTTGCAGAGCAGCTGTGTGCAGTGCTCAGCCTTGTCTCTGCTGCAGGGAGAAGTGCCTCATGCTGATCAAGGAAGAGCCAGTGAGCCCTGGAGTGAAAGCCAGCACGGAGCCTGAGGTGCCCCTGCCCGGCTGCCGGGCCTGCCCCGAGCCCCCGGTGCTGCCCGTGGCCATGGTTCAGTCTGTCCTGGAGGGCAAAGGCAGCTGTGGTGCAGCCACAGGGACCTCCCAAGCACCCGAGAGGAGAGGCAGGAGGGCCCTGCTGGACAGGTGAGGTGAGCCAGGGAGAGCTGTGGCTCTGCCTGCTCGTGGCCCTCTGCTCCCATTCCCAGGGTGGGGAGGGAGGGCGACTTCAGGTAGCCAAGTGCAGCCTGGTGAGCTCCATCCTGCACCTGTGGCATCTGCTAGAGGACCTCTGAGTCCCAGGGGACAGTTCACAGAGGCAGGGGGTACATGGAGCAGGAAAAGGCTTTTTGCATTTAGAGGGATTTGCCCAAGGTCCGAGTGAAAGCTGGAGCCCAGACCAGCATCTGTGTCTGTCTGGACTGTGCTACACCCCTGCCCAGGGGACTGGCACTGTGACATCAGGCTCAGCCCCAGGGTGATCCCAGTGAGCCACTTTTGGGGCTGTGCTCTGAGACTGAAATCCCAAGAGCACCCATGTCATGGGAGAGTGTCCAGCAGGCCTCACCAGCAGAAGGAAAACATGGTGCAGCTGGGTGGATGATGTGGAACCTTGATAGCAACTGCAGCAGTGTAAGGTGGCTTGTCAGTGGAGGGAACCCAAAACACTCAATAGGGTTATCAGAAAAGCTTCCATTTTCCTTTAAGTCCTTACAGAGAATCAAAGTCCTCCCTCTGAACCCACTGGATGCTAAAAAACATATTACCAGAAAAAAAAGAAAAGAAAAATAATCCCTTTTTAGAAGACCTGATTTTAAGAGAAAGTTTTTATAGCTTTTGGGGGGTTTAATCACAGCAGGCCCTCGCTGTTGCTCATTTAGCTGAATGTCTCTAGTAAATGCAGCCTGCAGGGTAAATGCCTGCAGCTAAAAGTCACTCCTTTAAAAAGCCTTAGTTAACAATAATTCAGGCATCTTGGACCAAGGAGAATGGCAGTGCTGTCTGCTCTGGTTCCAAAGGAATTCTGAAAGGATTTGTTCTAAGGAAAGCTTTCATTTTCCCAGTGTTGAGGAGATGTGCACAGACTATCCATCCCCAAACCACGTGTCACCCAGGAGAGGGATTGTCTCATTTGTTTTACCATCTGCCCAGTCCCCTGTGTGCTCTGCTGAGTTGTACTCTGGGATTAAACCAAGCTTTATGGCATAAACCCAGGCTGACAGCGGGCTCTTGGTTTTCAAAATGAGATTTAAGCATAAACATCCTTTTGGAAGGCTGCTCAGTCCTGCTTTCTGTAGGCATCTATGCAAGTTTCCTTTGTGGCAATATTTCCCCTTGTGTTTTCTCAGAACAGATATTTCAGACCCGTTGGAGGGCACTGACTGGAGCCTGGAGGGGCTGCAGCTGCTGCTGAGGAGCCAGCAGTACAGCCTGGAGCCTGCCAGCCTCTTGGATGTGAGTGTTGCTGGAAAGGCTGCATCAAAAGAGCTGGGAAGTTCACAGAGGTTCCTTTGGGTGTGATTCAAGTCATGTTGCTTGTTCTTGTGTGGCATTTTATCTGCCACATGTAGCCTGTGGAGTCACAGCTCTGTTTTGACCTGCTCATAGGATTTCAGCTTTAAATTTTGCCTTTTTTTTTTTTTAAATATGCATATTTGAACTTAAGGGGCACAAACCACTGAATCTGATAAAGAAGATAAAGAGACCAGACACATTTTTGTAAAATAGATTTAATATTACTTTCTAGCTAGTTTGGTAATTGCTTTGTAGGTTAATTTATTTTCTGCATATTCTACATCTTAGATATTCCTAGACTGTGTTTAGCTTTTCCTACCTTCCCCTCTTCCTCATATTCTGGGAAATGTAGCCAGTGTAAAATCCTCTCTCTGCTAAGCTATTTTATCAGTTTCACTTCTTAGATCACCTTTCTTTAGAAATGGATGTTGGCTTTTTCTTAAGCAGACATGCAGAAATAGGAAGGTTTGTTTATTTCTCTGTTGTATATATAGTTGGTATATGAAGGGTTTTTGCCAATAATCAAATAACTGTGTATGTAAGAAAAAAAATCTATATGTCAAATATATGCCCCATTAAGGAGGTGCTTCAGATAAAGGCATGTTGTAAGCTTGCATGGATAAACAGAATGAAAAATCATTTTAAAAAAATCAATCTTATTCTCTTCAAGCAGTTCCCAAGTGTCTGTGGTTGATTCTGACTTTACAGAGAGCTTTTCTAATGGCTGCTCTATCACTGTTGGTTTCTGTTTCTTCTATCTCATTAGGAAGTGTTTTCCTGTTACTGCCACACTTCTTTCTCTGTGCAAATAATGTCACAGAGTGAGAATGAATCATAAAATTTGCCTCAGATCAACAGCTCCTTTTCCCAAATTGCTCAGACTTCTCAAGAATTGCCGCCAAAGCCCTGATGCAACAGTAACCTGCCCTCTGCTACTGAATTCTGGAATGCTTTTAAAAGTCATATTAATCTAGGGGCGTCCTAGGACTCAAGAGCAGCAGAAAGATGCTTTGATTTGTGTGTGCAGCTGCCCTGGTTAGTGACAGGACAGTGGCATGGGGTGTCTGTGCTGTCCCCCCTGGCAGGCAGCAGGGATCATGGATCAGCACAAGTGCCCAGAGCCCAGCCCAGCTGTGCCACAAGTCAGCACAGGAGCCTTTGTCTGCAGCTGCAGTAGTGCAGGGCTGCACCCTCCAGCAGGCAGGGGAGGGCAATGAGAATCTCAAACCATTCCACCTTTCACAGCCCTAACTGTATTTTTGTCCCAACAGGTCTTTAATCCAAATTTATCTCTGAGTGAGTGGAATTTGACTGAAATGGAAGCCAGTCTGCCCCCGGTAAGAGATCTGTGTTTCTGAGCTATGAAAATAGCAATCATAGAACCCCAGAATGGCTGGGGTGGAATGACCTTAATGTTCATCCTGTTCCAAAGCTTCTGCCCACTGCAGAGACACCTTCCCCTACATCTCCTTGCCTAAGTAAAGATGGAACCATGAAGCAGAGCTTGTGCATAACTGAGGAAGTTATTTCATAACCAGAGGGGAGAGTGAGCTAAAGCACAGCACGTAGGAATCTCCTGGGGGCAGCATGAGAGTGTTGTATTATACTCTTGACCTGTTTTTCCCACTCAGTCAGGCTTTGTCTGGAGACAAGCTCTGACTGACTGTTGGTGTCCTGGAGGCTTTAATTGCAACTGGCTGCTCTAAACTTTCTCTTAGTGAGAATGTCACGTCCTACTAATACCATAGATTTATAAAGTGTCTTTGTGCCAAAGCTCTTTATAAATTATGCCTTTACAAAGTGCAGCTATCCCTGTAAGTCTCAGGAGCAATAAAATACCGTGCAATTACAACAGAGGTTCCTGCATGCCTGTACATGAAGAAAAGGAGAAATTGTTTGGCAGTATTTCTTTGGAATCGATACTTACACAGATATTTCTGCAGTGCAGAAAGAGCAGGTTTAATAAACAGTGAAGGAAATTGTAGACTCACAGAAGGATTAAGGTTGGAAGTGTATTACATAGCTGGGTTCCTTTTCCTGTGTGATAGAGAGTGAATTTTCAGAGCCCTTGCTGACAACCAAGTTGGATGAAAGCTTGGATGGTTCTGCCAGATATCTCTACAGATGCACAAGTAGAGTGTTATCTACTCTAAAGAAATGCAAAAGGTCTCTAATCCTTCTTCATGGTATCAACATCCTTTTTACGTTTTAATAATTTTGAATTTACTAGGTAATTCCACTTCCTGAGAGTTAGGAACGAGAGTGTCTAAGGAATAGTTACTATTAATTAGCAAGTTTTGGAAGCAAGGGCTATAACCTTTTAAAAAGAATTGCAAGAAAAGGCCAGGAAAGGAGGCTGCAATGTTCAGTATTTCAGTCCTTGAGCCCACTAAATTTCCCAGGAGCTCTTGCTTGTACTACAGAAACTCATGAGCATGGAGAAGTGTGGAAGCAACATATGCAGGAGCTCTGTGCCTAGAGCACTGTGTACGAAAAACTAGTTTCACTTTAAAGACAGTCATAAGAAAATGGAAAGAAAATCTCTTTCTTCTTTGTTGCTGGCTGCAGAGGACTGTGAGTTTGCTTTGTGACTGTAAATGTGGGCAGCCACAGTGACACCAGCCTGGCCCCTCATGTGACATGAACTTCACACCATATTAGCCAATGCTGAATAGGGGATTGCTCCTCCCACAGCCCTGTCCTTCGGGCAGATCTGCCCCTGAGCACATGGTGTGGCTGTTTTAGTGAAGTGCAGTGAGGCTGGGAGTAGAGGATGGGCAGGGAGGATGGCTTGTGTTCCTGTGGGTGTTATGCAGTGGGGTGAAGCACTGGTGCTCAGACATGGCCTAGCTCTAACAAGCTCCCCTGTCTTTGTATAATTGTACATTGTAGTTTATATTTTTGCATCAAGATGCAGCGATTCACAGTGGATCTGGAGAAGAGTGCAACTGAGCTGCCCCCAAAAGTGTTCAACCCACCATTCAACAACACCTGCCCAGGTAGGAGCACCAGCAGCTCTGTGGTCCTGGCAGTAGGATGGAGTTCAAGCAGCCAGATATGATGTCCAGCATTGACAGTTTGCCATTTAAGGAGCAAACCACATCTGTCATTTTGCTTTCATGATTGTCAGTCAGCAGTGTTTCCACAGCAACTGCTAAGTCAGTTCTTGAGCAGTGGGCAAAGGGTGGGGGATAAACTGAGATGTAAATGGAATTGAACTGGTTCTGCAGCCCCATCATGACTGTCAGTGTTTCCACTCTTTTCTCTGCCTGTTCACTGCTACCTCAGAGCAATGTGGTGATCTCAGTGGTGGGTGGTAAGAGCTGGTACAGTCTTGGGGGTTCCTCTGGTTCCTGCTGCAGAAGAGGTGCCCTAGTAGCTGCTGGCAGCCAGAGGCACAGATTGTATCTCCCTTTCTCCAGACCTTTTAGCAGACTTTGAAGGAACAGTCCAGCTGATCCACTTGCTCACTCTGATAAAGTGTGTTATTGACCTTAGATATGAATCCAGGAGCATTGCCCTGGCTGTGGAGTCATGATATATGTTCATGTGTGTTCAGCTGGGACAGACCTGAAAGAGAAGCTCTTGTGAACTTGTAGTTTTAGGTGGCTACAGCACCCAGCTGAACCTGCCCCAGTTTTGATTCATTGTGTGTCATTCAAGGACTTCCAATCTCAGCCTCTTTCATGAGCACCTCAAAGGTATAAAAGCCCAGGTACACTGGAAAGAGTCCTTGAGCATCCTCTTTTTGCAAAGACTCTCTATAAAGAGGGAGAAAGACACATCATGAGTGAAGGAGAAGATCAGCTGCTCTCATCCTCTTCTGTGTTTCCAACATTCAGTCATCCCTCTTTCACTTGTAAGGCATCTCAGCTTTCAGGCAGAACCCACCTGGTGACATGCAAAGATTCCCCTTGATTTTAGTGGGCTTTTGAGTCCAAGTTCTACTCAGGTGTTTCCAAGTAATTTTGCTGGAGTGAGGCTCCTCAGTCGCTGCTGCAGTTGAGATTTGTCACTTTTCAGTTCTACATATGTAAAACTAGGAACCTGCCTTCTAGAAGCTGAATTTTCTGCTGTTTGTTCCTAGGGAAAGATGTCATTCTTGAAAGTGCCCAGCAGCTCCTCCTTGACCGTCAGTCCATCTTTGGGAACGACCTCATCAACTTGCCTGAAAATTCATCACTTTATGTTCCTTCTGAAAATATAGTTTCCTATATGTCCTCTGTGGGTGTCCAAGGAGATATCCCTCTAAACCTGAGTTCTTCCACGGACAACAGCCAGTGATTTAGCTCCCAAGAAATAAAACCTCCCTCCCACCCATCCAAGCATCCACAGGTTTGAATGTAAAAAACAAAACTGACTCAGAAACCCACAAGAGAGTTTCTTTTTGTGACTTTTTTTTTTTGAGTAGGTGGAAATGGTCAGTAGCTGTTGCATTACCCTCCCTGCACCTGGATTTCAGTGTTTTATTTAAAAAAATGCTACTTCTGGTGCTTGCTCCGAGGGGGAGTGAGAACTTGCCAGGATTTTTTTTTCCTTAAAAATACTTTAGAAATTTCAAATCTTTTAATAAAATTTAAGTGAAGAGTAGCTTTAAAGTCCATCTGAGACTTCATAAAATAGTGATCCTGACTAATGCCTGCAATGGCAAACTGTTGGATTTTATTAGGGCAGCACAGATTAGCTAAGATGCCTGACCCTTGTTGATGCTGGTTATTGAATAGGAAAATAATTCTACATGCCAGTCCAATGCTCTAAAAAGATTTTTTATCTATTTTCTGGGTTTGATGGGATGCACCTGTTCCTCCTAGGGTGAGTAGGAAAAAGATCTCTTGGGGTGTGTAGAAGCTTGTTTTCTGAGTGACCCCACCAAGAATGTGCCTCTGGCTCTTAGGGGAGCTACAGACCATCACAGGCTGCAAGACATCCCATGCTGAGTTGAGAGTTTTGTTGTTTGGGATTTGTTTTGCCCCAAATTTATTTTCTCTTATATAAAGGCAGGGCACTCCATACTTAAAAAATAGAAAAGGGATAGACCTTTTCTGCACACTCAATTTTCCGTGTGCAGAGAGGCCTGAGGGAGTGCACTCTGGGTTTTGGTGCTGGCTAAGTATTTCATGTCCAGTCCAATGGGTTTTTTTCCTTGGCTTTGACCTGTTCTATTTCCCCTGAAGATGTGCCTGTTGATTTATTGATGTATAAGATCTGATTAAATAGTTTAATTTATTGGATCCCCTTTTTAGATGGACTCTCAGCTGCTCAGTGTAGGAGAGAGGCAGAATGGTTAGTCCACCATGTCCCACAAACTTTCCTTCTGTCCTTTGTGCATCTGAGACCAGCCTTAAAGGCTGAACTAACCTTCCCCATCCATGTGGTTTCTGACAACTGAGTTTCTCAACAAAGCAGAGCTTTGTTTTTTATGCTGTAGTTCTAATGAGAACGTATTATTTATCTCAGTATCTTCTACCTGAGTTGCTTTTCCTTAGGAAGGTTACCCAAATGCAGTAGGACAGACCCAGGAAATTCAATTAACTCAGGCCTCCTGAGGGCTTAGACAGGGAGGTTTAAGCTGTGCCTGCATCATTTGAAGAAATGCTTTGCCTGCCTTCATTGTCATGACAACTCTTGATTATGAACCACATTTCTGAGCATTGTGGTCAAACAGCATCCACCCCAAAGCGTAGCTAATCACTCAGATGAGTGCAGGCTCAAAATCTCCTCAGTAAGATGAGCATTTTTTAAATGGACCTTCCTGTCAGAGCCCTTTCCTCCATCCATTTATCACTATGTGAACAAATGTGTTAGTTCAGAAACATTCACTTTTGAGCACATTTTTGCCCAGCTGATTCCTGTGCTGGGAGCTCTGTCACTGCCTTAGTGGTGTGGTCTGTGCAGGAGCGAGGTTGTGAGAGCTCCTGAATTAATCCCGGCCACAGTTTTTGTGTTCAGGACTAAGGGAAAATTCCAGCAGCCCCCACTGGCCTGGTATTTAGATGATGTGCTTGAGTGTATCCTGGACAAGGTTTTTCTTTTTGAGAGATTTGTGCTTAGAAATTTCACCTAGGTCAGCCCATTTCCACCCTATTTTGCCCTTTCCAGTGATGGAAAGTCGTTGAGTTGCACTCTGTTTACTTCTTTTCTCATAGATAATTGAAAACTGCCTGGTGTCTCCTGACACCGACAGTGTATGTTCAAGATTTACACCCTTCTCTGAGCTTCCACACTCCAGGCTGCTGTCATGTTAACACTGAATGTATTGATGCAACAAGGTATTTAAGCACATGCTTAACTTCAAGCTCCTGAGTAGTTTTCCTATATTTCTATGGAGCCTGTCACATGCTTGAGGCTGGGCATAGCTTGTGTCTGACTGGATTGTCTGGATGGATTTGAGAAAGGAACCCCTGGGGAGCGTTGCCCGTGGGCACAGCCAGGTGGAGCTGGGCCCTGGCTCTGTCTCGGGCTGTGTCCCACAGGGCAGGCTCCAGCCTGTGCTCATGGGGAGCAGCCTCTCAGGAGGGCTCCAGGGGTTTTCTTTAGGCTTTTTGCTCTACTATAAACGTGAGATTGGAGCTTGATGGTGAGAGAGGAACCTCCAGGAAGAGCACTCGGGAGCCATTGCTGTGAAGAAGGAAGCTTGTGTTCCTCAGCTTTTTACATTGTTAATTTTACTTGAAGGTGATGTGCTGAGACTGCGTTTTTGCACTATGCTGTACATTTGTAAAGTTTTACAGAAGACACTAATTAAACATGTTTCCTTTTTCTCATTTAGTCCTGCTTTGGCATTTCTCTCACTCCTTTCATCTGTCCCTTACTCCCTTTCTCCTTCCCAAATCCTCAGAGACAAGTGAAGATTGCTTCTAAGCATTCAGATTCCCTTGTGAGGGCCCACGGGTGGGTTGTGGTCACTGAACACACAGGGCTGGGGAGACCTCCCATGTAAATTGTGGCTAAGTAAACACAGCTTGGAAAGCTGCTGAATTCTTCAAACTAAAATGCCACTCAGGGTGGATATAGCTAGTAAAATCAGGACCACAGTAAAATAGTCTACAGTTCTTGGAACTATTTCCTGGTTTTTCCCCCCTCATTTGTCCTATTTTTATTGCTTTCAGTGATAACAGAGCTCAAACTTCACTCTTGGAATTATTTTTTTAAACCTTTTGTTTGCAAACATAATGTGATCCTTTCTGCTTACTTGTTTTTAGTGTAGTAAGTGGATACCAGGACAGGCACCAAAACACAGCATGGAAAATGCAAACCCCAAAGTCCTAAAAATAGTCCTTATCCAGAAAGCTGACAGCTTTCCATCAGAAAAGGAAGCAGCTACATTTTTAGTATGGAGCTCATATAGGCTGGTGGCAGCATTTGCAGCTTTCTGAAGAGCAGATTCCAGCTCTGGTGCTTTCAGATAACCCTGTGCTCCACGGGCCCTTGGTTTACCCCCTGTCCTGGAGGCCAAGGCTCTTGCCAGCATGTTTTAACTCGTGCAAGGTGGAAAATGGATGAAATTTCAAGCAATTGTGTTTTCCTCTCTGAGGACAACACAATTTTTGTGTTTCTGTGAGGTCTGCTTCTCTTGCCACCAGATGGCACCTAAACCCAGGTGACAGGAAATACACCTTTTCAACAAGCCCACAGTAATTCTTTAAATCCCGCATTTCTTTAAATGTGCACACCTAAAAGAATTGTTGAATTCTATTTATTACAAATTATTAGAGATGTATAGAAATATGAAAAAAGACATTAATCTAAACTTGTCTATACTCAAAATCCACATCCTGAGACACATCTTAATGAAAAACAATAAAAGCAATAGACATAAGTGTATGTTTCATTACAGATGCCCTAAAAGGTAAAACCAGATATTCTGTGCATGGATGCTATTTCTGCATCTTTTTAGGCATAAACAATCATAATGCCAAGGAATATTAGATCAGTAAAATATCCCATCAAGAAGCAATCTCCATTTGCTATTGGAGTCCATCTGCTATGATGTACACTGGTATGGACTTAAAATATCGAACAGCAAATGAAAATATATGTGTTTACAAATAGAATTTTTATTTAGTCAAATGGCAGACACATTGAATTAGGCTTGAAACTCCATCTGTAATGAAACTCTGATATATAAACATGTAACTAAGGCATTTCTAGAAGGATGCAAAGGCACAAATAACACAAGACTGGAATTTAACCTCAAAACAGTAGTTTTCAAAGTTGTGACCACGCAGCTGCCCTGAGGAGCATGGAGCCAAGGGCAGTGAGTTTTGATATCACAGTGCAATGTCAGTTTTAACAAATGGTCCCATTGCCAGCCTCCATATTTTGGGAATATTTCCACACTGTGCTTCAGATTTGGTCTGGTTTTGTAAAGCGATTAATCCAATCCACTCTCATCATCCTTGTCACCTTGTGCTTTATGAGGGCATCCTTCCCCCTCAGCCTGGTCCTGTGCTTCTCTATCACTGCCATTCCCTGTTAAAAGCACAAAAGCAACAGGCAAATGAAACTCATACATGATCTTTAATACTGAAAAAAGAAATCTAGAGCCCAATTTTTAAAAACCATTTAAATGAAAATCAGTAAGAAATTCTCTGTAGAAAAAGAAAACAAGGATTCACACATAAATGAAAGGAAGAGGTGATTGTAACCAACAACCTTCAACAGGAGCTGAACGGATCCTTAGTGTGTCTGTGCCAAACCTTGTTTTCTCTGTGATTAATAATGTCACTGTAATCTTACCATCCTCTTTCCATGAGCTTGGGTCATCTGGTTGATAACAGTCTGGTGACAACAGCAGATGATCCTTGGGGTCAGTGATTATCTCTTGTATCAAGGGTTTCAAAGGGGCTACTTCTTCATCTTTGACCTCCAGGTACCCTTCTGAATGATCAGACTCTGTAAAGAAGCTTTTGAGAAGGGGTCTTAAGTGCTCCTTTTCATGCTCTTTATAGTTCTGACATACATTTGAAAAAATTGGTGTTGGAACTTCTACTGAATTCTCAAGCATACTTCCATTGTTTTCCTCTAATGTAGAATTGCTGTCATTTGTCACTTCAGAAATTATCTCAATCCTTGGGTGACAGTTCTGCTGTAAAGGTAGAAATGTAATTGAAAAATTATTCTTAGATAGAAAAGCCAAAGGATGGGTAAATATCTCTTGGATCCATGTAACAGTTATCAGCTTTAATGTGCTGTTCTCATAAAATATGTAGAATATATGCTTCACCCATAGTTCTGCTGCTTTGTGAATGAATCTTAGGTTAGCAATTTCTCAGTCATCATCAATGAACTGACCATAACTAACTAGCAGTTCATAAAAAGAGCAGTGTGTTCTGATATTCTACTCCAAGCAGGGGAATGTGACCAACATCTTAACCTGTTTCAACGGAGAACTGAGCAGCCTTTGAAGCAGGACAGCTGCTAACACATCTTCTTTCCCTAATCTTCTTTCCTTGCCTTCTTTTAATTTTTTTTTTAATTGGTGGCTTTGTTGGCCAAGACATTTTGCAACCCTGTTGTGAGTCTGTGATCAAAGGGCAAATCAATTTCATGCCTTATACTGGCTGTAGGAACAGTTGGCATTATCTTGGAAAGACTTGTAAGAGCATGTACTCTACCAGCCTCTGCCTCCAGCAAGGCCAGTATGATTCTATGATCAGCATGCAAATCAAAACTATCAAAACTGTGCTTTTAAACTTTGTTGTCTTCTTTTTTCTCTTCTAATTTCTCCTTACAGGCTTGTGCCTAAAAGATTAGTTTGAGCAAAGCAAAACTCTAAGGTGGACAAGGACTGGCCTGCAGTAGAGAGGAGGAGTTTCAATTTCTCTGTGATTTCAGTGAATTAAAAAGCCGGATTTTCTTCATCAGCAGGCAATTTGCACTATATTAATACTGGTAGAGTATAATCTTTAGTAAAACACTACATCCTATTAAGAAATTAAACTTATGTAACTGTTTCAATACTGATCATAAGTTTTTATTCTATTTTTGCTAGACAAGAATGTAACAAAGGAAGATTTAAACAAAGGAAGATTTACATGTAGATATGAACTGCTGAAGTGATTGCATCTCCCAAATGAGCATTTCACAACTTAGATTATCCTCAATTTGCAAAACCTTTGCAAATGTATTTAGGGAAGTTTCATTACTGGAATTAATGAAAATGTTACCTTTTGAACAAAGATTTCCTCTTCTGGGGCAAACTCACTTACAACTACATCTTCTAAATCAGGCAGATCCTGAAAACAATCACAGATCAATAATCAGTGGGAAGAGCTACTGTAACCTATGGAAAATGACATCTCTGGCTCATTGGACAACTCCTCCAAAGCAGTGCTCATCAGGGTGGAGGCCACAGCCAGCAGGACCCCCCTGCCATCCCCTCACAGGCACAGTTTTCTGTTAAGCACAAGTGGGAAAGAGAAAATTCATGTTTCCAGAAATAGCAAATGGGAAAGCAATAGCCCTAATGTCAGACTGAATGCTGTTTTTTACTATGCTATATGATTATGAAGGAAAACAGGATAAAGAATAAGGTATTACCAGGATTTTAAAAGTAAACATGGTTTATTCTCTTAGCTGTTTCCTATCTAATGAATAGACTTAATCCCAGTTGCAGCCCATCTCTATGGGTAAGTGCCAAATCCAGACCTGCAGTCTTCCTGAAACTGCATATCAAGTAAACTCTGTTAACCTAAATACCCCTAATAAACCAATGTTTTACTGTGAATGCCTCATAATTGAGACACAGAACTGCAAAATTCCTGAGAACTGTTTTTCCTCAGACAGGTCTGACAATTTCAGCTTTCCACTAAAAAATATTATCTCAGACACCTATCATTTACTGACATGAAACGAAACACAGAAGGTGGGAATGCAAAATCACAGGTAGAAACTAATACCTTTTTGCCATTTTTTTTTACTGTAGGTCAATACTGGGATAAGCATCTCCTTTTGTTTTTAGGTATTTTTAGCACTTAATGACTTCATAGAAGGCTGCTTGGCATGGTAACATCAGGAACATCTGTACTGTCTTGTGTGGTGAAGGTTATTACACAATTAAAATCAAGAAAGGAAATTTCTCCTTCCTGATATCATTGCAGCTAATGTAGCATGTCCTGAAGTCACAGAGTTTTATAAAAATTGCATTGAAAATGGACAAATTAAGATCTGAGACTAACGTGGAGTTTGACATCAGCAGGGAGATGAAATAGCTCTTAGTCTTGTTTCAGTCATCAGGGTGCATTTGCAGATTTACTAGGAGTTAACCCAGTCTAGATATGTGGGAATGTGGTTCCCACACTGCCAAGGCATGTGCAGCAACTGGAGCTTGTTTCTGCTTGACACAGGGATGTCATAACCACCCATTGCAAACCCTCCTTCTCCCTTATATTCCCCCTGAGACCATCTAAAGACTCAAGATATGAATAAAGACAGTGGTGCTGCTCCAGAGCCTCTCACCATTGGCATCTTCCCAGCCATTCCCTGCTATGTCAGCACTAAGATTCTTCAGAATATCTGCAATAGGGTAAGTACTGGAGGCTGTTGGGAGAGGCTCTTTCTATTACTGAATGTTGTTGGAGAGCAAGTAGCATAGAACACTGAAATGTGCATTAGTGTGTGATTTGGGTTTGGTTTTCCTTCTGTAGAATTAAAATAGTCCCACTTGTTACATCTCTAAAACCCCACAGATGTCTGCTTAAGAGTTACTTTTATACTGCCTTGAAGTTTGTACACAGGATCATCCTTTGGTGCCATAGAGCATCAAGGGAAAAACAAATACTGAATCAAGGAGATCTTCACATTGCGGGTACCTACAGTGTCACTACATATTTAAAGCCTTTACTTGAAACACTGCAAGATGTACTTTTAAGAATAATATTTTGCATACTTTAACTGCTGCCCATTCTCTCAACTACACTTTTTAAACCTATGATTAAAAACAGGTAAACAGGAGGAGGCAGCAGCAAACCCTCTAGTGGAGCACTGGGCTGAGCCCTTCAATAACAACATGGAATTTTTGCCTGGGAAATTAACAGCACAGCAGAGAGATGAGGCTTTTCTGCCAGTAGTTAACAAGGGCAATACAGGGTATCACAGAGTGTATTAAGTGCTCTGGGAAGTCATAACCTTTTATTGCTGATTATATCACAGTCTGACACTGTCAGTTTATCAGCAGTATCCTAATTAGGACATGTTGAACAATTCTCCTTTGAAGTGAGGTTGTATTTTTCAGTGGTATCTATGTTCTCCTCATGGTTAAATGTGGTAAACATATTTAAATGTTGCATCAGATAGACATTTTAGTTAACAGAAGATCATACTACAAATGTAAATCACTTATTATATATCTGAATAATGTACATTCTGCTCTTCCTGGAAACAGACATCAGAGTTATATTTTGAGAATTAATTTATAGTATCTAACACTGCTGGGTAACATTTACAATGATGGGGGTGCTATTTCTTCCCTATGGCTTTTCTGCAATAGCTCACATTTTCAACTGCATATTTCACTTGAGTTTTGATTAAGAGACAAATGTGTCTACTAGATTATTTTCACTGTAATTTCTATTTTTAAATGAGAGCCTCATTAGCTTCACCAAAGAAATCACAAAGATAGAGGGTCAACTTTAGGTGATTTACAGGACAAAAGGATTTATAGGATAAAAAATTTAAGGACAAAATAAACTTTGGAAGCATTCTTCATAAATGCTCCAATGGAGAGAATACCCCTGCAGCTTTACTTTTTGCGTTTTTCTTCTTTATTTCTTTTTATTTTTCCTAACAGTAGACCTTTCTTTAAAACCTGTCCATACAGTTTTATTAGCTGCAATGTTACAAGAATTAGCTTGGGAGGACCATACACACATGTGAACTTCTCAAAGTCTGACTCCAATACATACATCAAGAGAAAGTGCTGCCAGTGTCTCCAGTTTGAACTGTTCCATTTCAGCATGTTCCTCCTCCCTCCCAGGAACCACGGCCTGGTCAGTAGCTGCCTCCTGTCCTGGTAGATCTACAGAACAATCAATAGTCAGTTGCAGAGAACTAGCTGAATAAAAAATGTCTACATTGCAAGCACTGCAGACCCAGACTGCTGAGGACTGACCACCACTGCAGAATTCACAGCTCACTACAATGCTTTGTTTCTCTATTATTTTCTGGGTCTCTCTTTGTATAAATTAATATATGCATTTTGCATATGTGTTCCACAAATCTATGAAAACAATTCTCCATGTGTGAAGGTACAAAACCATCTCTAGAGTGATGACCAGCCTCTGTTGGCAGACAGACTGCCCAGTTTATGTGGGAACAAGGCAAGTCTGTGAACTCTCCTAGCCTTTCACTACACCTGGCATGTTTGAGAGGTGGAGTTGCAGAAGTTTCAGGTTAAGCCTTAAGAAATTTACTATTTATTGTATTTAAAGAATATTTTACCCAGTATTGCTTGATTTCACCTAGTCACTGGAAATCTAATGGAATGTTTTTATGTATGAATTAGTTGGCTTGAGCCACAGCAGAGGCAGTGCTCTAAGACAGAGGTTGGCTCATCACCCCTGCATGCTCAGTTTGGTTTGGCTCTTCACTGTGTACGTTACCATCTGCCTCCTTGTTGAAATTTGCGCATTTGTAAGAGTTTGGTTCCTGTGCATCCTCTTGAACTTCATCAGGCATATTTCCAGATGTGAAATCTCTATCTCCTCTATTTGGTAGAAGTGTTACCACTTCATCACAAACATGAAAACCCTCATTTTTAAATTTCTCAGTCTTTTCTAGAGCTTCTTCTTCTGATCTATTTGAAGTTTCTGTTGTATTAGAATTTCCATCACCATCTTTTGAATTTGAAGATGCTCCTACAGAAGAAATAATTTCATTAAGATTGCTGAGCTAATCTACCACTGCTCATTTTAAATTTCTAAACACTACTACAATGGGCTAGAATATGCCTCAAAAGCTCCTACTTTGAGCAGCTATCCATGGATAACTAGTCCTCCCAAGACTACAGCAATGCTGTTTTCCCATCTCAACTCCCCAGCAAACAGAAGTTCCCCAGGAAAAAAAAAAAAATACATCTTTGAGGATTTCAATGAATCAGCAACAAGTGCCATTTACCCTCTCCTTTGTGCAAACCACTTACTTGAAAAAAAGTTTTTAGTTGTTAGTCAATCCAAAGATGTATTAGATAAAGACTCCTCTGCACATTCAAACTGAAGTGGTCACAGACATCTTCCAAACAGTAAACAAACCTTCTTGGGTATCTGTTGCAACTCCTTCCATGCACTTTTGTCTCCTCTTTTCCTGTGCTCTTTGCCTAATTGTTGCTAACGCATCAATGCTATCTTGGATTTTTTTTCTCTCTCTGGTTTCCCATTTTTCCCTTTCTGCTTTCTCAGCTTCAAGCCCTCCAACAGCCCAGGCTTCTGCACAGGCTCTAATGAAAACACAAAAGCTCACTGTAGGACAGCTATAAAAGCCCACCTTTGCAAGGAAAGAGAAATTTAAAAGAGTTTGCAACAGCACAATATGCAAGAGAAAAGCAGATAGCAGTTACAATCCCTTATGCAAGAGGGATGTTGTTTATCTCACAAAATATGTGTTTAAATGTATTTATCTCACAAAAGAAATAGAAATACCCAAATGCTGATTGGTGATTACACCACCAGAGATTGGTCTGATCTTGGTTCAGCTGTTCCAGACACCTGCTCAGTTTCTGTTGAAATTAGGATCTGCCTCTGGTCTACAGACATGGTGTGAGACAATTCTGTTCAAGAATTATTTTGTGAAAAAAAATTTTTTTTTTTCTAGGTATGTTAGATTTAGAACTGAGTAGTACAATACTCTTCTCAAAGTCATCCACCTTCAATAAATTATTCTGGTCAATCTTCCTTCCATGACAGTATTGACAAAAAATGGATGAGTGATTGTTATCACTTGATTCTTGCTGTGTGAAGAAGATGGCTGTGTTTCTTACCTATCCTTTGGGAAAACTGGTCTGTCATCCAGATATGTCAGCTGTTTTAGTCGAACAGTGAGTGTTTTTCTATAGTTAGGAATTTTCTTTATCACCTCATTTCCCATCAAGTTCAGCACATGCTAGAGAAACAGGGGAAATAAATTTTAAGCTTGAGTAGCAAAAACCCCAGCCTGGATATGCACTTCCTCTGTCATTTGAAAAGCAAGAAATGAATAAAACATCCAAGGTGTTACAGGTGGTCTAGCAGAAACAAAATAATGTTTAATAATGTTTCTTTTAGACTGATACCTACTGTGCACTGAAGTACCCAACAATGACACTTGATGGGGTTCACCCACACATGACACAAACCCTCAGCTATTTTTGGCTTACCAGATTGGGCATGGTCTCCAGAACAGCTACAATACTTGGATCACTTAGATTGTTGTGGGAAAGATCAAGAACAGAAATACTTGGGCATTCCTGCAAGTGCTGGATGTCTTCCACTGTTCGTAATTTATTGTGAGCGATCTGCAGAGTCTGCAGGACTTTCAGACAAGCTGCCAGACAAGATCAGTACAATGAAAGGAAAGGTAAGAGTTGTCACTTCACAGAGGGTTTTATGAGCAGGTAAAAAACTGCATTGTCAAACTAATAGTTTATACTGAATTTGGAGCTTTTTTATGAAGTGGTTATTCTGATATATATACTTTTTGGCTAGGCTTACAAAGCTGCTTTTTTCAGCCCAGGGAAAAACAGGTGCTTAGATTTAGGATGGCAGTTGTTTTAAATTCACATTTCAAACTAATCAGTTACACAAAAGTAAGAGCTTATGTTACAATATTCTCCAATGTATGCAAGCAGTAATATACAGAAATAGTTTTTTATTTTCTGCTGAAGACAGAATCAATCTTTTAGCAGATATAAAAGATTTGGTAATTGTGTCTGCAACTGCCAAAGTATATCTTAAGTGTAAAGTAAATGGTGAAAACTGGATTGCCTGTCCGCAACACAGATAAATACTTAGATGGTATTAAGAAGTGAGGAAAAACTACTTAATTATCCTAGGTATCTATGTGAAAGTAGTTTATGTGTATTTTCTGTTTCTCAACATAGGTTTTATACCACCACAGAAGCCCTGTAGGCTTTGGTATGGATATTGTGCAAAATTCTAACACAAATTTAAAAATCTCTTGAAACTAATGCCACTAACAAAAGCTTAGTCAGAGCTTAGGAAATATGGGCTTGCCAGAGGCTAAAAACTGTTGCAGAAAAAATTCTTACAGAGATTCTCAATGGTCCTAATGTAGTTGTTACTGATATTGAGGGAATCCAGCTTTTGTAAGGGTTCAAGGTTTTCAATTTTCTCAATTAAATTGAGTTGCAAGTAGAGGCAACGCAACTCTGTCTGAGCCTCCAAATTCTCAATTTTTCTTAAGCCATTGCATTGCAGCCACAAACACTTCAGTCCAGTATATTCTTCAAGATTCTGCAGTCGGTCAAATCCTACAGAGAAAAAAAAGATGTTTTAAAATGAAATGGCATTGGCTGAAAATGGCTCTTTGGATGAGAAAACTCCATTCAACCAGAGCTGCTGAAACAGCCTGAGAGAAGACTGGTGCTGAAGTTACTGCAATATTTCCACTGAATTCATGGTACTGTTTCTGGCCCATAAAGGGCAAAACCAAGTTGATACCTATTCTGGTCTGTATCTCAGCAGCCCTTTAGATGCTCAATAATACATAGCAAAAGCAAGGCTGAATGTAGAAGGTAGCATATCCTATGTATTTGGAAGAATTCTTAGGCTAACTTGGGCCAGGTAACTGTATCATGCAAAAACCTGCTCTGAGATCACCAGAGGATGAGTAATGTTCATTCTAACAATTTTTTTTTCTTTAAGTAGTGTTTGCAAACATGCAGAAAGTATTTACTGTTTATTTTCCTCTTGACCATTTTTACTTGGCAGTAAAAAAAGTTCCAAAAGCTGGAAAAAGCTCTTTATACAAACAATTTAAGGAAAAATACGTATGTTTTCCTCTGAGAGCAACCTGGGCCAGTATTTTAATTTACATTTCTCAGAGGCTCCTGTTTCAGTAAAAGAAACCATAAATATGTCCCTTGATTCCTACTGATCCTTTGGATGGTTCCACAAAGCGAGTTAAATGTACAGTTTACTTTTCCACCTTGATATTGACTCATTTTGATTCCCAAATCCAGTATTACATAAAATTGTTTTTCTCATTTAGAAGAATGACTAGATACGTTACTTCAGTGAGCCATGAAGTAAATTCTCTGCTAAAATGGTACTTAGGATGATCAAGCTAGGCAGTCATGTCCACCTCTTACCTTTATAGTGCAAGTACAGTGTATCATTTAAGTATGGGGTCCAGTATAATTTCTGCTGTTTACAGATGTCTAGCAGAGTCTTTTTTGTCATCCTAAAATAATACAGGAAGCAAAAGCAAAATAAAAGATGTATTTCTGAGATCTTTGGTTTCCTTACAGATTCCATTGCAACACAACAATTCTTTCATGCAAAAGAAACAGCTACAGCTTTCAAAATTGTATGTTTAAAAAAGCTGGTTTTTTTTAGTGTGGCTTTTCATTTCTACCTTTGAAGTGAGCTACCAGGCTCTTCTGCTTAAAAAAAGAGGTTTCATAGGAATACAGGCAGGGAATTAGAGGGTCCACCTTCTTGGAAGAGGGCAGCATGATTTTATGTTAGCTTCTGGTTCCAGTGTTAGCTTCCTCTCCAATTCTTTCCCCTGTTCCTCATTGCTTTGGTACAGGACCTTTGGTGGCAGAGCCAAAATGCAGTATTTTTCTCAAGCTAGAAAAATCAATAGTAATCAACCCAACATTTTATTGACATGTTGAGTCCAAAGTAGCACTCAAGAAAGTTTTGATATACAGCTGTTGGTTGGCTGGGAATGCCACTAGAAATTAACAGAATGCTTTGTCTGAACTGATGCAGAGAAATGGCTAAATCTACTGGCACATGACTTCCATGGAAGTTTGCACAGTTTTCTCCAGATCCATTAAATCACTTCATCGTGTGGTCAGAATGTCGTTTGCTATAGTGGCCATAAAACCCAAACATCTGTCCAGATGCTGGAAATAGCACTAATACCTGATTTATCCATTATTCTCAAGTTCATCTTCAAAATTGCTCTCCAGAACGGAGATGGAACACACAGAATAGCAAAATTCATGATGATGCCAACACATCCACAAATAATGTATTACCTTACAGAGCCTCTCTTTTCTTCTGTCCTTTGACTGGATGAGCTGGTTCCAGACTTCTCATCAACACCTGATTTTTGTTCATGATGTTGATCTGCACTGGACATACAGTTGACTTCTTTCTCTTGCATTTTAACAGCTTTTTAAATAAGAAAATGAGTTGCAATTTAACAGCAAGGATGGGGGAAATGTGTCATGTTGCCAGTTACTTCAGAGAAATATTGAAAAGCACTTGAATATGAATTTGAAGAAGAGAGTGTTTTAACCAAGATTTCTGCTGAGATTTTTAATGAAAATTAACTTTTTTACACAGCATCATAAAACAAATAGTATTAATTGAATCTGCATATTTATTTTTTTTTAATATCTGGAAGTCAGAGTGTACCCATTATTTTTAAAGTACAGTCACAATAAAGTACTGACACCAGTGTTCTTACAGAGTTAGACATTTAATATCTATTACATTTAATTAACACCAATTTGAGATCAATGTAAAGAGACTTCAGCAATGCTGTGTCACCCCAAGCACTGTTAGTCCAGCTCTTCTACCAGTGTACCCTTTTGCACTCCTTGGAAGATGTCTTTACACTGCCTTTGATTAATTGAAGTTTCAGTATGTCTCTACAGATACTTGCCCTGAACCTTCTACTTGCACTTTTAGTTCATACATTTAAAGAGAAAGTGCAAACAAGATGACTTAACCAGCTTACTTAAGTATGACTATAATCAAAAGACAATAATCGGACATACTTAGTAACACAAAAGGCAATGGACTGAAACTGATGCACAGGAAGTTCCACCTGCACATAGGGGAGAACTTTTCAGTGCGGGTGACCATGCACTGGAGCTGTTTGCCAGGAGAGGCCGTGGTGTCCCTCCCTGGGGATGTTCCAGAGCCATCCGGACACAGCCCTGTGCCCTGCGCCGGCCCCGCCTGAGCAGCGAGCTCGGCCAATGGCCCGCTGCGGACCCTGAACCATCCTGCGGCTTCTGATTTACAGGTCAGGTTGGCTGTGTGATTGCAACACTGGAAGAAATACTTCTGCGGCAACAGCAAAATAAAGAAACGTCGGGAAAGGAAAAAAGACCACAAGAAGACAGCAATTGAGTATGCCTCAGTTATGTCAGGATTCCCAGTGACTTTGCTGGCAGAAAGCACACCCTCGTACTCTCATCCAGATGAGTGTGAACAGCCGCGATGTGCAGGCTTTGTGTGCTGGCGAGCGAGCCGGAGGGGCTCACCTGTGCTCCCAGCGCTGCCCTCACGCTCCGCGCGGGCGCCTCCGCTCCCGGGGCCGCCCAACGGCGCCTCAGGCGCCGGGACCTCCCCACTGCGGCCGCCGTGCGGGTCTCCAGCGGGCGCCGCCTGCATTCTGACAGCCCCGAGCCGGTGTGGGATCTACGCTCTGCCTTTTTCAGACAAAATGTCCGCAGGCTTTAGTCGGCGGCAGGCGAGGGACGGCGCGCAGCCCGAGCCGCGGCCGCAGCCGTGGCCATGGCGACGCCGCGCGCAGCCCCACAAGGCCCCGCGGCCGCTCCCGGCGGCCCCGCGCGGTGCGGGCGGCGCGGCGGGCGGAGGGCGCGGCGCGGCTCCGCGGGTGAGGCGCCGGCGGCTCCGCGCCGCGGCGGGTCCGTCCGGGCCAGGGAGGGCCCCGGCCGGGGCTGCGCGAGGGGCCGAGGCGCCGGGCCCGCTCGCTGGGGCTGCGCGGGGAGGGCGCGCCGGAGCCCGCTGTCCCGCGTTGGGCGAGGGGCGGGCGGGGTGTGGCAGTGTCGGGCGGCGCAGCGGGTCCTGCGGAGGAGAGGTGCTTGTTTAAAAAACCCTTTAACTAGTAAAAGCCGTGTGGGCGGATTTGTGCTGGTTTCTAAAACGTTTTAACTAGTGGGAGGCATGTGAGGCACCGCAAGCGCGGTGTGCCTGATGCACTGCACCGTGCCGTGGTTCAAGGACAGTGGCAGATGCGGTGCTTTTGGCTGCCCTGGTGATTGCCGTGCTGTCTCTGAGCCTGCGCTGGCTCTCATGTAGCTTTCTGCCCTTGAAAGAGCCCGTTGTTTCTTTGTTTCTCAGCTCTCGCGAGCTGGTTATCCTTGCCTCTCTTGTAGGTAGTTTTTAATCTTCCAACATTGGTTTTCACCTGTTCAGTTTCTGCTTTAATTGTTTTATTTACAGAATCGTTGATCATTGATGTTGCAGTATAACTGATTAATAGCTCAACCCTAGGAAAAGGGTTTAAACAGTACCTAAACCAAGTGGGGTTGATGATAGCTGACACAAATTTTAGCATAGTGACTTGTGGTTTTTCTGCATCAAAATAGTGCTCAAACTGTAAAATGCTGCATCTCAAAGGTTATCCATACAGTGAAGAGTTTACATGGCCCAATAGGCAATTGTAATTGCATGTGTCATTTTTTTTTTCAGGTTTGTGATCACCATGGCTGCAGTGGATCGATTCTCCCTCTTGTACAGAGAAATCAGTCGCTCCTGCAGTTTCTATGTGGAAGCCCTGGCTATTGTTGGAGCTTGGTACACAGTCAGAAAGTGCCTATCCCTGGCGTTGGACACTTACAGCGCGCTCAGGCTGCACGTGATCCCAAAGCTGATTGGGGAGATTGATCTCGTCAAGAAGTACGGGAAGTGGGCCGTGGTCACGGGTAAGAGATGAAGTGGTGAATTTCCTTGTGTTTATGAAACATACTGTGCCAGTTCTGTGAAACTCGGTGGCTTGTGGCGCTGGGTGAGCTTTATATTGCAGGCCTGTATTGTCTCTGGTTGCAGGTTAATCTGCCTGAGCAGTGGCTGTTACTCATTGCCTTTATAAATTAATTCCTCAGGAGAGGGGCAAGCTAAGTGAGTTGACTGACTGCTGAGAAAGAATCACAGCAATTGTTGCCCAAATTTGCAAGGTACCTCTTGATCACCTGCAAGTGTAGACAGAGATGTAGACAAGATCCTCTTTTTGCTATGGGGTGTTCATATGTGCCCTAGTTTTTCAGCAAGGTTTGAGTCCTGTACCTCTGACATCCCTGCCTTTCATTAAAGCTCTCTCTTGTTGTCATAGAAAATATAAAACTTTTATGAAGGGAATTTCAGAAGGTAGTTGACAGTGTTGTCTTTTCTGTTGTGTCTTTTAATTCAATATATTTAGTGCCACATGATCTCAGAAAAAGGAATAAAGCAAAGAAAGCACTATCAAGATAGAAGGCTAGTGTAGCTGTGTTTTTCACTTGTGTGATCTATTGCTGTTTTCTCTTGCAGGTAGCACAGATGGTATTGGGAAGGCTTATGCTGAAGAACTGGCAAAGCATGGTGTCAACATCATCTTAGTCAGCCGAAACAAAGAGAAGCTGGAGGCTGTGTCCAGGAGCATATCTGAAACCTATAAAGTGGAAACAGATTTCATAGTAGCTGATTTCAGCAAGGGGCGTGAGCTTTACCCAGCCATTAAGGAGGCTCTGAAAGACAGAGAAATTGGGATTTTGGTGAATAATGTAGGAATATTTTATGCCTACACAGACTATTTTACTAATCTGTCTGAGGATATACTATGGGACTTGATCCATGTAAATATTGCTTCTGCTACCATGATGACACATATTGTGCTGCCAGGCATGGTAAAGAAGAAGAAAGGGGCAATTGTGAACGTTTCTTCAGCAGCCTGTTGTCAGCCAACACCGATGTTGACAGTCTATGGAGCCACTAAAGTAAGTTGGGCTGTAGTGTTAAATGGCATGCACTGGAAACACATTCAGCAAGGATGTCAAAATACTTGAATGTTTTCTAGGGATTTGTTTAAGTTTTGGGGGTGAATACTACATGTACTATGCAGTAAATTCTTCATCCTCACCAATGTTGGGCTTTGAACCAAAGTCAGTGCTTCTGGATTTTGTGTGCAGTGTGGCATAACAGTCATTCTAGGAGAAATGCTGCCTTTCTCAGATGTACAAAGCAGAGAGGCAATTCTGTGGGCCCCATTGAAAGGATCAAGAATTTCATCTCTCTCTTCTTCATCTGGACTGTGCACATACCTTGAGTCTCTTGCATACCAGTATTTGGTAACAAAAATATCTATACTTATGCTCAAGCCACCACTGTGACACGGAGTGTGGCCAAATGAAGCTGCTGCTTCATGTAATACCAAGAAGTGTTGTGGCATATGTGGGGACAAGTGAAGGGAACTCCCCCATAATTGTTCTTCCTGAAGAGATCCAAGCAGCAATGAATAGGACTGGGCAGCTGGATGATGCTGGAAGAATGAATGCTCATGGTGAATTGACACGGCATGACATACTGCTGAATCCACAGGAGCAGTGGAAGGATCTCACCCAGATCCAATGTCTAAACACAAGGGGTAATTGCTCCAGCTGTCCATGGCTGCCTTCTGTTGTAGCCTTGCTCCTGACACAGCTCTTTTATTTCCTTTGGCCTGGAGCAAAACCAGCTCTTACTACCCCAAGGTGTAAAACTTCTTGCAGACTTCCTTCAGTTAGAAACTGGCTTACAATTACTGTTTCTGTGCAGAGTTTCTGCCCCTTTGGTTATGCTAGGTGTATGTAGAGCTGCACTCTGAATTAAAACAATTAAAAAGCTTGAATGAGAAAGAAGAATCACAAATGTACCAAAGTTTCTTGATTTAACTGAGATAATCCAAATGCTAGATGAGCAATCCAGCTTTAAGCCTGGCCTCAAAACACAGAAGTGAGAACAAGCTGCTGTAACATCCTAAGCCTCTTTGTGTAGTAACAATTTATAATGCTTGAAGTGGTTGTTTTAATTTTCCTAAAGCAGCTGTAAGAGAATTTGTACAAGATGCTTTCTCAGCAAACTGTTGGGAAAACCTTTTGCAAGGCTGATTGGAAGAAGCAAAAATCTGCTCACAAGCTGAGTCTAAAATGCTCTTTCTCAGGGAGAACTGGCTGTGTGGCACATCAGCAGGGAAGGCATCAGTGTTGCTGCCCTGATAAGACTAAGCCAGGCTCTTGTTTCAGTCTGATTCCAGCAGTCCCACTTATCAACCTTGTGCTTTTCTCCTGTCAAAGTAAAATGGGCTAAAGGAGGTAATGCAGATAAACATTAACGAATCTTTTTGCCTAAGAGAGTCCCAGGAAATAACTAACCTGGCTTCTGGAGAAGACAGTTGAATGCAAAATTCACCTGTAAATGTATTAAAGAATGGGACTTTATTTTTTTCTTCTGATGGTAGTAGGTATAATTGTCTGTAGAGTGACCTTGCAATGCCCCCAGACCAGATAAGGTGTTTGTTTTAGATGAAATAAATGTTTTTGTATTATTTTTTAGCAGAAATTGTCAGATTGTGATAAGCAGTCACTTTGTCCTGCAAGTTACTGTACTGTGGCAGGTTTATAGCAATTAACAACACAGAGAAATGCTGATAATACTTTAAAAAAATCATATTTTTATACTATTTATTAATATTTTTTGAGCCGGTGCATAAAGTATGTTAAAACTTTTCTGTAATTTTAATAAAACTTTACCTTGAGATTTCATTGTTTAAAAAAAAAAAAAGAAAAAAAGTGTCTTTCTGCTTTTGTTTTTCTAGAGCTACTTGGACTATTTCAGTAGATCACTACATTATGAGTATGCCTCTAAAGGAATTTTTGTTCAGAGTCTAACACCATTTGTAACTACTACAAAAATGTTAGCATTCAGCAGCACAATATCAAAGAAATGGATCTTTTTTCCTACTGCTGAAGAATATGCAAGTCATGCTGTTTCTACTCTTGGGTTATCCATAAGGACCACTGGTTGCTGGAAGCATGCAATACAGGTAATGGAATGAATTAAACTATTTCATGTTTGCCAGTAGAAGTAAATCAGCTGTTTACTTTCTTAGGAGTCTGAATGAAAACTGCTCATTATGAAAAAGTATAATATATATTGTAGACTTTAAGGCATTGTGCCATATTTTCTCACTAGTTCTGCTTTATCGACTTAGGCTTGTCTGTGCTTATTTTTAAGATCAGAGAGTGAATCCAATTCTCCCTTGAAATGCACAGCAGAAATGGGGAAGAGACAACTTTTTTACTGATTAGCAGAGTGTCTCATTTCTCTTAGGGTGTTGCCGACTGGGCAAGTGTTTCACCGTCTTCTGTAAACAGAAATGGCTTTTTTCAGTCTTAATATATTGAACATATTCGTGCTTTGGGGAAGAGTGGGTAGGGAGGATGGATTAACAGCAGGAAAAGACCTGTATTTTCATCCATTTGTTGGGGTTTTGATTTTTGGGGCAGACGGTTTTATGCATATTGATCACATCTCATGTATCCTACTTAGCGGCTTCCTAGATGAGCATGACTAGATGGAAATGAAAAAGTGGGGATTAGTCCAAAAGGAATAAAAGAGACAGGATGCATTCTGGCAAAATGTGGCAATTAATGGAAGTGGGCAGAATTGCTGTTGTGAACTCAAACAAATCAGGATTCAGTATTTATTTGGAGAACTTAACTGCTCAGATGTGGCCACTACATCTGAAACAACTGAATATGTG